AACATACTTTTGTAAGGAAGATTTGGGTGAATTAGGTATAAGATTTACTTTGAAGTGAAGTTTTTGGAGAGTCAGGAATGGATTAATTCATTTCCCATTATTTCTTATGGGGAAATTTGCTTCGGTTTACAAATTTTTGGGTTACGAACAGTCTCCAGGAACGGATTAAATTCTTAAACCGAGGTACCCCTGTACACTGTATTGTCTATTATATTTCCAAGTACGCATGATATAAATACCGTTTAGTGGAATACATCAGGTTGTCATTAGTAATAACATCACTAAAAGAAATTTGTGAACTTCAGTAACTATGGTATATTAAATATATTGTTATGACCAAACCATAGAAAAATTATTATACTTTTACCAATACGGCTTTTTCTCTTGTCCAGTTTTTTTTCGAGACTTTAACATCTATGATCTATCTCTAGATTTGTTAAATTAAAAATAAATAAAACTTTATTGTTTATTACCTGTGGTTAATTTTGTCACAGTATGCAGCAAAATTTCAGTTGAGAGTAGTAGCCTGAACCTTGCTAGCTTGGAGATTCCCATGCATATAACAGTAACTGCTACCACTGTACAGGTTAGATTTGGTTAGCATAACACCAAACTTGTGTCCTCAAGTGATTATCAAAGTTGATAATGCAATGAAAGTACAGTATACAAAAGAGGGAATGGTAAAATCATATTATTAACTGTTTTGCTCAAGATTCTCCCTTATGTAGCTTTTGTTAAAGATTAAATTAAACAACTATTCTTATCAATCAGTCTTTGGTGAGACTTGGTAAGTGAAGGTGCTACATATAGCAGTAAAGCATTAATTATTCAGTAATTGAATAATAATTTAGAAGTCTTTTTCTGAGAGAGCCCCTTCAGTAACTCTCCAAGCTAACTGCTGGTACCGCACAACTTTACGGAGATTCACTAGCCTCTGTGACCCACCCTTGCCGACCTTGAGTCAGGTACCTAATTTTCATCGAGCCTTCATTAATTTCATTACCTTTTGGTACCTAATTTTCATCAAGCAATTGCTTGTTTTGTTGCAATTGTGCTTTCTGGTAGGGCTTTTTCTCAATTTTGGATTGATCACTGATCCCCACAACCCCTGCCCCTTTCCTCACCTTGCAGAAAGAGCTTGATTGTAGTCTTAGCTCCCAAAGCTCCCAGTAAGCTCCCAGTAAGCAAGGGTAAATCACAGAGGTCTGGTGTATCTTCCTGAAGCTTGGACAGTGCTTGCTCGGGAAGCTGGTGATGGCTCCACCAGAAAAGGGTATTTCATTGCATTCAACATTTGATTTAAAAAAACACACATGCTAAAAAATATTACCCCTTGCTACATTGTTTTAAGTTAATGCATTTCTCAAGATGTATATTGAATATCAGGGTGCAATAATTATTTCTGTGTTTTATGTAAATGACTTGAGTCATTTTGTTACTTGTAATTTAAAAATTAAATTAAATTAAGCATACAAAACATTATAACTCACACATTGTGCATTGAAAATTCACCACTTTCATTTGTAATGTCAACATTCCCCTCATACTTATTTGTGGACGCATCTTATAACCCAGCAGTAGTTTTAGAACATTTTGTTGATGCCGTAATGCAAAAATATAATTGTACAAGTTCGTAACTGTATATCTGCAGAAACGTGTTATATGGTACAATGTAGAAGCAGGGTGACTGTTTATTATATAATAGGCAGTTCATTTATTTATTTTAAATTGTTTATTTCATATTACTGACTTTTAAATTTTCATTCTTATGTTTTAATTATTTGTTAGTGGAAAGCTTAATGTTACTCTCATTGTTTATAACAATACAAATAACCTACTTACAGTATAAGAGTGTGCTAATTCTCTTGCACAACTAACTCTTGATTTCCATGCACAAGTACAGGAACATGAAGCATGACAAATATATTCCTTTCTCTTATATTTATTGTTAATGGAATGACCTGTGTAAAAATTAATACATGTGAATTGTTGTAAGTAAATTTTGTGGGCTATTTTGTGTGTTAAAAATTGATGTTTCATGCAAATTCTATAATACAGTAGTTCTCTTCAATTCTTCCTGTGATTGAAGATCCATTATTATATAATATGTATATGTATATTAGACAGACAAGTTCAAGTTCAAGTATGTTTATTGAGACAAGAAAAAATACATCTCAAAGGGATAAAGTAGCTTAGGCTATTTCTACCCCCCCTATGAGAGACATGGGAGAGTGGACTGTTTCTGTATTTCATGATTAATGTTACAAGTGAAATAGAACGATTGAAATAATTGAATTTTAAGAGCCATGGACACATGCAATATTAGTACATGTTCTAGCACTAAAATATTGCAGCTTTGTTTTAACTTACCTAATTATAAAACATGTTTGTAACCTTGCAAGATTTCTGTAATTGACTGTTTGCTATAAACTAAGGCAGTTACAGTACTGTGGTTAAGTGATCACATCACTCTAATGTCATGGGTTAAACTGCATGTTTATAGAAAGCAGTTAAATGTATTAGAGCAAAATGCATGTATTGCTAACATGCATGATACTTATCATTCCTTGTAGCTCCTTTTTTCCTCTCAGATATATTAACATAATTTAGGTACAGTGATTATTTTTCATTATTGAATTCATCACTGTTAGCTGTAATGGGGAATTTTTCTTGTTGTGTGTTGGGTTTTGCTAAAAATAGCTTTTGTGTGTGCAATTGCTAAATAAACTCATCGCATTCTTTCTATACGGCTCTTTGACAGTAAATTCATAAAATTAACATGCCGAGGATCTCGTAGTGTTCTTGACTCACAATCACGGATCCTGGATTTGATTCTTGGGGTGGGAATAAATGGTTGGGCACATTTCCTTTCACTGAATGCCGCTGTTCACATGGCAGTAAATTACACAGAACACAGCAACTGTTGTGGAGGGTGTATCCTGGAGAGGGTCAGTAGCTCAACCTTGGGGGAACCTCGATGAAATCCTAAAGTATACATATATATTCTGTATACTGTAATATATATGCACAGGTTTCATGTCCCTGATAAAATGTATTAGAGGTGCTGCTAATTTTGATGGCCCTCATAGTTGTGCAAACATGCCGGGAGACCAGTGCTAAGGCATCTTTTTTAAGTTATTCTCTTACCTTTTATGCATAGTAAAATCTTATTAAATTTTATTTTAAAATAAACGTTTAGCACTGTAATACATAGTTGCATTTACTTTACTAGACTGCTGCCTGTACTATAATGAAAAATTAGTTAACATACTACAGTACTGTACAAGGATGAGTCAGATGAAAGTGAGATCAGCACGTACCTATAATGAAGAGGGCCAGTGATGAGCATTTTTGTATTTCTCCACATTGTTTTTGCCATGTGATAAATTTACACTAGAAGCAAATCCCATACTATGTTTCTTAGCCTCATTCATAACACAATCTGAAACCTTTGGAAAGTTTGATGATTAGTACTGTATATGCATTTTTTATTTGATCTTACTCCTCTCACTGAAATGGGAAGTGGGAAATGTTTCTGGCTAGGGTACAAATTGGTTATACATGATTAACTCATTGGGCATTTAATGGAGCAGATAAATGTACCCTACTGTCAGATCTGCATTGTTCTCCTATTAGTCATTTGCCTTGTAGGATGTGCTAGTGTTTAGGATTTTGAATTTTACTTTCCTACTATTGCTTTGTATTATATACCCCTCGATAATATCCTTGTTGAATCTGACTCCTTTGACATGGCTCATCTTGTATGTTTGTCTCTCATTGTTGTTGTTGTTAAAGATTCGCTACCTGGAACAAGAAGTTCCGAGTAACACGGGCTATGGTGAGCCCATAGATTTTGTCTCTCATATTGGCATTGTGAATTATGTCCCGCATCTCTTGAATATCCTGTAGCACAGTGCTATATACCCATTCTGACTTGGCACCTTCTTTTCTTAATTTTTTTTTTTTTTAAGACAGGCAGATTGTGTGGCATTTTTGTATGTACTGTAAATGTAATTAGTTTGCTTGTACAGGAATGATCAAGAAGCTAGGATGGCAAGTCCAGGTACTGTATGTGTAAGATGTCCAAAGCATACAAAAATTACTATATTTAATGAATGCTGTCCCTGGACCCAGGGTCTCAACTCTGTAATAATAATACTGTAATACAAAAACTGGATTTAAAATAATTTATGACAACTACTGTAGTTCACTTCAGTTTGTTTGTGTTGCTTCTTAAATGTATTTTATGTGCATGGATCTTTTTATCGGTACAGTAATTGAATGCATCGCAGTGCCATTTCAACAATCGTCTATATACAGAGAATGTCAATATAACTATCCTAAACAAAGTAATCCAACCAACAAATATGAAAAGAGAGGAAACTTGTGACATTTCAAACCGAAACATCATTAATTTCCTTTCTTTTCGTGTGTGTGTGTGTGTGTTTTTGGGTATTAACTGGCTGTATTATACAACTGCCAAGCTTTAACAAAGAATATAGTACAGTAATTGTTTTTCCTTTCAGTGAAGTTTATCTCAAATGTTTTTGCTATTCATGTAGTGTTTGTTTATACAGTACTGCCATAAGGAGATACACTGCTGGCAGAAATGCATCCATGGCTCTACATGTTACAAAAACTTTTATCTGTACCAAAGGAAATGTTTCATCTACTGTAATAGTATTGTTGTAGTTTTTATTTATATATATATATATATATATATATATATATATATATATATATATATATATATATATATATATATATATATATATATATATATATATATATATATATATATATACAGTATATATATATATATATATATATGAATATATATATATGAGAGTATAAAAAGTAAATCCTTCCATTTCTTTTATGTAGTGCTGCAACTAATAATAATAATATGGTAGCACCCTTTATGTGTCGTTAGTAATTCCAGTCTTCTCAGTTGATAGTTTTTTGTTTTTTTGTTAACTTCAACCTTAACCTCCCAACAGATCCCCTACTGCTCATTTGCTTTTGCTGCTCAGGAGACTAAGGGCAGCTGGTCCTTGCAAGAGCCACCATTCCCACCTGCCACCCACTCTGCTAATATGCGATATGATTGGAGGATCCTGGTTGCATAGCTGTCTCCGTCCCTACCTTCCCAGTGTGAAGTGTGATGTGACCAGAAGTAAAAGACCTTTATCCCTTAGTGTTATTAATATTCATGTGCTGTTGGATGCATGAAATACAGTTTTCTGTAGGTAAGTGAAAATGGAATTTATTGAAATGAATTGTATAACATACGGTATACAAAATAAAGAAATAATTATCATGTAGAGTTGGAAAAATGCTGTATGTAGGCTTTTGATGGTATAAGATAAATTGACAGCCTGTTATGGAATCTGTGCTTTATGATGTAAATTGTCTAGACAGACTTCACAAAAAGTATTCAGTGAATTTCTATGCTTAGATAAAGTTACTAGTAATGTATTAAAGTATTTCCACAACACACTTTGTATAATGCGTCACACATGTTACATCTCCTGTGCGATATATTCAAATCTAGAACATTAGACAAGTTCAGTTTTTATTATTTTTTATTTTACTCAGAAAGCATCTCATCACAGCAGTTTGCGCAATTTAAAACAAAATTATTATAATTTTGTTATATAAATAAACTCTACATAACATTATTTAAAAACATGATCCATTGTTGAAATAAATTAGGTAATTTTCAGTTCTTGGGGATGAAGCATATTTTTCTTTGTATCTACTTAGATTTTAAACACTACTTATTTTTTTTCAGTAGGGAATACGTGGGATTTGTTATCAATTTTAAATTTGCATCGAGACCATAAGACACTTGATGCTTGGGAGTGTTTTATTACTGTGTTACTCTCATTCTCCTTTCTGTTCTTGTTATCTCTTATGTGCACATTTGTTCAACTCATGTGAATGTTTCTACCCTTACATACACATTCTCCCTTTACATGTACGTTTCTTCCCTATGTATCCATTTCTTCCCTTATACCTTGTAATGGTTCCTTAGATCAATGTTCCCATGGCCAGTCTCTGACCAAGCCTCTTTGTTGGTGGTTTGGTCAACCATTGTTGGATGCAGGTGTTCGCAGCCTTATGTATGAATCACAGGCTAGTTGATCAGCCTGTGATTCATTGGAGGAGTTTATCAAGTTTTCTCTCGAACACTGTGAGAGGTCAGCCAGCTATGCTCCCCTTATGGATAGAGGGAGAGTGTTGAAAAATCTTGTGCCATTGTGCCCTTATCTGCACATTTCCTCCCTTACATACACATTTCTCCCCTACACGCACATTTCTCCCCTACATGCACATTTCTACCCTACATGCATGTTTTTTCCCGATATGTGCATTTCTCCTCGTGTGTGCATGTTTCTCCCCAAGTATGTGTTTCACCTTTTATGTGTGCATTTCTACCTTTGCTTTCTTTCACACCTTTACTTCCATCCTTGAAGCTAAACAAACATGTAGACTTGATTTTATACAATAGTTTAAGCTAGTAGTTTGAATTCTGTAACATGAAGGTATGAAGTGGGTTAGAAGCTGAAATATTCGAGAGATTCTCCATGCACTACTCTGCTTTGAATGCAAATGAAAGTGACATAATATAGGTAGAGAGAGATAGTATATTTTTATAAATCTAGATGCTTTAACATTGTAAGTTGCATAATGCTTTATCTGGTTCAGTGCAAAACTAATTTTATATGTGATTAGAGATATAAGAAACCTCTGAACTTCTAGTAACTTAGGCACTATTATTAAACTTATAAAATGATCTTAATAGTTTCCAGCACAATGTGCTCTTTTCCAACCTTTTGATTTACTTAATCTTGGTTCTAATTTCTGCTAGTGTGATAAGTTCAATTTGTAACGTTTAGAATTCGCTTTTGTCAGCTAAGGACTAACAAGCTTATACTCGGGCTTCTTTCTCACTTTATTCTCGAGCCTTGGTGGTTCTGTTAAGACATTTTTAATATATATTGGGATATGGGATAGGGCTGATAATGCTGTCCTGTATTTTATTTCACCTTCACCCCAGGTACTGTATGTTTAATACAGTATATATAACAAATCCTAGAGAATGAGAAGTTTGAGTATAACTAGCATTTTGACATATATATATGCTGTAAATCATTGTTATACATTATACATTAATAACCTCTCACAAGAAAAAAATACTATTGAATGTGATAAAGTAACTATCTGTTAAAATTATAATTTGTATTTACCCACCGTATTGTTTATGTTAAACGTAATATTGTTTATAATTGTTAACAATATATTGTTATTGCCATAATATTTTGCAAGTGTTATCCCACCGTATAATATGGTAGAGGTTGAGGTGTTGGCATCTTTAGACCTGCTCTTCCATATTTCACTGCGTAATCTTTTTCTCCTATTTTATCCATTATTATTATGTATTACACACTACTGTATTATTGGCAACTTATTCTTACTTTTTAAACAAATTGGAAGAGCCCACAGAGGCTCTGTTAAGACTGATAATTAGTGATATATTAATCTAAACTGTATTTTATACAGTGGTTTGATTGCTGGTAAGTAGAAATAATAATTTGATTTTTAATTATGTGAATGTGACTAGAGGTAAGAGTGGAAGCATTATGTACAGTAACATTATATTTGTGGTTGCTGAGCATATGATACACTGTGCTTGGATGTAAAAGATGTTGACCTGGACCAACTGTTTACCATAATATGGTGCTGACTGTCACCACCATAATCTGAGCCAACCATAAACCCTCTCAGCAAAATAGTTTCAATATCTTTATTGCACTTAACACTTTCGTTCGGCGGCGACGCAGTCTGCATCAATAAATAAATTTACAGATGTCTGCTGGTTGCGTCAAAATTTAAAATATGTGTTAAAATTATATTTTTTATCCAATCATTATGGGACCAGCTTTACAATTTCCACCTTTAGATTGTGAACAGTTTGATACCAAATGAACGACGTAGCTCGAAAATTGAGGTCAGAACACTGGAAAGAAAACATATGTTAGTGTGGGTGTGCACGCCCTGGAAACGCCAGGCCCACCTTTGGGTGGGTTGGGGCGTGCGTGTCGGGTGCACGAAAGTGTTTAATATGCTTTTTCACCCAAGTGTTTTATATCTATTCACTATTTATGAAATTAAAACAATATGTAATGAGTATGACTAGATAACTAAAAGAAAAGTATATATACAGTCAAGCTATGCATATTGGTGCATTCCAGTATTCACAGAATACAATTTTAAAAGTAATTTGGGAGTAATAGGGAATGTTTTACAGAAATCTCCCTATGTCCAATTTTTTTTTCAATAAAACTCACATTTTAATATTGCTAATTAATTCCACTACTTGCAATATACAACTATACTGTACTGCATAAAGTGTTCACTCAGTATTGACAAGAGAGGAGTTTAATTACCACTTCCAAGCTATTACGTACTACAGAAAGTAGATTTATGCACTCACTAATTAATATCTAATATTTCCTGGAGTTCAGCAAGCATTACATTAAATGTCAGTGATGGAGTGATGCAACAGTGTTATGAAAAAGTGCATAAAACAAGGAGAACCCCATACCACCCTTCACTAATTGAACCACAGCTTGCATTTAATAAAATTTGGTGTTAAATACTTGCCTTGTATAAGGCAAATTTCATGCCTTCCAAGTTAACGCATAGCAAGGACTGACTGTACATGTATTAAAAGCGGGTTGTGTTTTAAGTCACTAAGACTTCTACGTGCTTCACCTAAAATTATAAATCTTCATGTTTGTATGTTAGGTTGGTCTAACGTCTCTGAGTAAATGAAGTTTTACTGTATATATAACATTAATAGGTTTCTTTGGAATTTTTTAATTTATATTACAGATTGCAGTTCTAATTCTTTAATTTTCAACTGGGTGGAAAGTTAACGCAAATAATCAGTCGAATACAGTTTTACTAATTGTGAAGCTATTGACTATACTACTGCACAGTTTCTACAATACATCTGTGTGACACAGTGTTCTGATTAATCATCTAAGGCAAGTATGTATAGTACTATCATATGTAAACAATAAAAAGTTATAAATTCACCAAATTATTAAATACAGTACTAATACAGTATTTTATGGATAATTAAAATTCCAATATGATGGATTGATGATTTTGAACTAGTCTGATGAATGTTACCCAAACCAGAGCTCATATGCTCCACACTGGACTTGTATTACCCACCAAGCTCTTGCGGAACTTGTCTCCCACTTTAATGGATTTTTGTGAATTATCTAGTCGAGTAAAATAAAAAATGGGAAATTGATTCATTATTGGTTCTTGTACTTTGGGACATGGTATGCTCCTTAAATGCATGTATAGATACTGATATGACTGTTTCTTGCTTGCTTCATGTGCTTTGGTGCATATACTATTGAGGGTATTGTCTCAAATGCGTCCCGGTTCCTCTATCGTACCTTGTTCAGCTCCCTAATTGAATGTTGTCCTTTGGGCCCTGTGCATGGTGGTTAGTCTCTGTTGGGCTTCACTCTTCTTTTGTTGGTTTGGATATTTTGTAGGGCATCTGGGTTTTCTGGCTTGGTGCTGCTTTGTGGTGGGTGCTTATGGCATCTGCTAGCTGCCCCACTAAATTTTTCATGGTGTTATTTGTGGTCCTGGTAGCTGGAGGCTTGCAAAGGTATTTATTGGGCATCAGTAGGTGTTACCCTGGCATACAGTTACCTTCCATAGCATTGGGTTCGCATGGTGGTTTGAGGTTTATCTCGATCAAGTGTCCTCCAGTTTACTTGGATATTTGTTTGGGCTTGTCCTATGAACTTATCCTTGCTGTGAATTATTCTAGACTTTTAAATTTGCTCCTTTGCTTCATAGCATCTTACAGGATGCTTATGGTTCGTTCTGGTAATTTTCTTTCCTGAAGACTTTGGTCATTGGCCTCTATGGATGCTTGTCTTTCATTCTGGGCTTTACTAGTGCATTCCCTATATAGTGATTTTTGTCCATTAACCCATGTTTCTGTACCCGTCCTTGGGATGCTATCATTCCTACCTCTTGCTTAAATTACCTCAAGCTTGCTTGGGTGGCCTACTCTAATGAAACTGATATTGTGATGGGTTCTGCCATCTGGTGATGGTAGGTGTAACTTTGATTTTTAATTCATACTTCACAGAGCAATAATTGCCATTTCTTATGTTTCTGGTACAATGAGGGGTATAATGTTCAGCTGGGCCCATAGTAGTGGCTTCAGTTAGACTTATTCTCGTCCCTTTCTTAATTTCCTTGACAAGTCAATTTGGAAAACCAATGAGAGCCTGGGGAGTAAATAACAGTCCTCGGTAAACCATATAAACTCTGGTTCGAGGTAATGCTCAATTCACTATTTTCTTGGAAAATATCTTCAGTAGCTCCCTGAGCCAAGCACTGGTCCAGCCAAGCCTTAAAAAAGGGGGAGAAATGAACCAGACCTGAAACTGATCTTAGCCTACCGGGAAATAGGACCAAAATATGACTGTTAGCCTTGCTGTTTGAGGACTGTGTCTGGCTGTGTTGAGTTATTCCCAGGTGGTGTGCCCTCTATTTCTCAGACTGTTTCCTGGTGCTTTAGACCAGGATTTCTGAATGCTTCCAGGCAATGTGCCTGGTTGTTCTCAGGTTGGGCGCCTGAGGGTCCATAATTTTCTTCAGGCAGTGACTTTATTAGCTGTGCTTATGGTTTTGGCAGGGCATTTTTCAGTTTTTATTTGAGATCTGATCCCGCCCTTCCTTCACCGCATAGAGCCACATTATGCTCATGGTTTACGTTAGGCAAAATTTAGTTTCAAGAGGCCTAGTGCACCTCACAAAGGCTTAGCTGGACAAGCACTTAGCTCAGGAAGAAAATGAGGGTGCCACCTGAAAAGGACATTTTATTACATTCAATGTTTGATTATTTTCAATTCAACCATTTATATGATTTCCATCATACAGAATGTCACCATCACTCAGTGGTTGTATAGATTTCCAAATGTTAATAATTTGTAATTTTCAAAACATATAGTGTTATAAGTATTGTAATTTCTTATTACAAACATTTTGTACTGTATATTGCTGTAATATTTTATACAGGTGCACCAAAATATATTAATACTGTACTGTATATGCTCGATAATCAGAATTATATGGGACCCATCCCCTTTCAAGTTAGCCAGACATTTGAGTTAGCCAAATTTTTACCTGACAAGTTCAAAAATTAAACAATTTGAATTTAATTGAATACTTGTTTGGCAGAAATCTCAATACCCTGAATTTTTATGAAGAGTTGAGCTGCCAAAAAACTTTATTCAGATTACCTAAAGATACGGGTTACCAAAATTCAGTTTACCGAGCTCTTACTGTATTAACTTACATTTTACACTTGTTTTTAGATCAAAACATTGTATATCTCCTACTTATATTGTATATCTCCTACTTATATTGTATATCTCCTGCTTTTATCTGGATGGGGTCCTAGGAGTTCTTTTACTCCCCAAGCCCTGCCCAGGGCCAGTTTAATATTTTTGCTGTTAAATTAGTCTTTTGATTATTCTTATTCGTAATAAAGATATCAATGTATAATTTCAATTTCAATAGTAAATGTCTTCATAATTTTTTCCAGTTGGTATTAACTCACTATAAAGGATAATTGAAGAATGTGCAAAACAGTTGTCTTGCTTGAAAATCTGAAGGTATACTGTATTGATATCTCTGTATTTCTTAACTGTATTTGTTGTAATCATGCAAGATATAATGTTTAAGGTACTATACATCCAACATTTGTAATAATGTAAATAAGGAAGCCCAAGAGACAGCTGTTAAGTGGCACACAACCAGTAGGCATATGGGGCAATGCTCCTCTCAGAAAATAAGTCAATAAATAAAAGAGCCATTTAGAGAAATTTGGGCATATTTCTCCCTTTTTTATCTTACATTGTACATTAATGATTACATAAGGTTAAAGCTTATCGTGTAGGGGAACGTCCGTCATATGAAGGCTGAAGATTATACTTTCTACCAACTGACCAGCCGCAGTATATCATTCTCATCCAAATAACATGTGCAAAGGCACATATTTTAACAGGTTTAGACTGAATGGTGGCATTGTTTTTCCATCTATTTATTTTCCAGTTCATATTCTACAGTTTCTTTTATCTTTTGTACTGGTCAAAAAATTTGTAAAGAAATTTAATTTATTCTATGTGGACACACATTACAACTTTAACTATAAATTTTTCATTACATAACATGTTCATGTTCACATTTTGATAAGATTTGTGAAAACATTCTAAGCATTTGTTATCGTGACTAAATGATTGTTGTGCTTCATGATTTTGAAGAGAAAGAGACATGTCAGCAAGTTATGTGATGGGTTGCAACTTTAGTATCATAATTTGCTCTAGATTGCTTACTTTGGCTGCTAGCAAAAGATTAATACTGTAATAAGAGTCACAGCAATTTCCAACGTAAATCAGAATTTTGAAGAAATTCTTTCAAACTGGGAGGAAGAAGTTGTAACTAAAGTATCCCACTGAATAATTAGAAATACTGTACAGTATATGAATCAAGTTTTGAGAAGACTTGGCATTGTTGAGAATGTCAGACATGAAACAATGTGTTAAGGTACAGTATTGTATGTACAGCACAGTATATACCTTAATGTTTATCCAATCTATATTTTACATGCTTAAATATTTTATTGCAACTTTGTGTAATCGCAAATTGAGATTGGCTTTAAAAGGAGAGTTTAGCTGCTTTTAGTTTAATTATCTGATGCTCATAACATCTTCGGTGATCAGCCGGTGTTCAAACCTTCCTGCCTATTGTTTTTATTTTTATTTTACCGCAGCTCCTACTTGCTGAGCGAGCATCAGTAATGGATCATAACCCTTGGATGCTTTCCTTTATCACCCTGCTGTAAGGTCTTATTGTTATAATGGTCATGATATGCCCTACATGTAAGCTCTTACATTTTTCAATATTGAAAAACATTTTCAATCTTTTTTTTTTTTAGCATTTGTTAAGATGCATAGAAACATTTTAAGGAGAAATTTTGATACATACCAGTACGTTAGTACGTACAGTAGTGTAAAACCACACATTTTAATTTTTTGCATATACTTTACCTGTTAAAATTATTTCTATGCATAATACACTAATTTGTTATCAAAATTATTTACATATTAAACTGTCTAGGAATGCAGTAATTAAGTACTGCATTATCACTTTCCTGAGAATTTAGTTTGCAGAATCTTTAATATAAAAACTATGCCAATACCTGTATATATGTGATTTAAAACAAAAATGTTTGCAGTATAATGTGTGTACTTGTGCAGTTCTTTGTCACTTTGTATTATTGTCTTACAGTATAAAAATGTTATCCCGAGGGGCTAACCAGGGTTAAGAAATGGCTGCCATCCACAAAAAGAGGTTAAAAAAAGATGTAAATCCACTGAGAGAATATCTTAAAATCATAATTGACTAATGGATTTGTTACTGTTATCTATAAACTGTATTTTAATAAGAAAATATAAGTAGATGATATAAAATTATTTAAAGCACTGTACTTCAGTATAAACAGTGTGGATAAAACTGGAAATAAAACTGAAGTTGAAGTGTACTGTATAATGACTAAAGACGAGCGTATTACCTCACCTCTTATCTACATAACTTCTCCATCCATTCAACAAAAAATGAACAAAACCCAACTTTGTGTCCAAGACTTAAGGTGCACTAGGTGTTTTATCTCCTTTTCCCTTCAGCAATGTTTTGGGTTTATGCATTCTAGTCAGTCTTGCATAATAGTATAGATTTAGATACTGGTAAACCATCAAATATTTGAATTTAATAAATAAATTTTTGTGAATCCACCAAAATAAAAATTATAGGTAATTGAATATTTTTTATTATAATAAAACCTCCAGAAATAATACCTTTAGATTTGTATCTAAGCAAATACTAAAGGGTATATTTACTAGAATGTTGAAATTTATTATTGAACTTGTCCCAAAAGATATTTCTTTAGTAACGACGATAAAAGGTGTACTGTAGTTGGTCATTTGATTTTATATGTTAAGAATTATTAATTTACAAATTTTGTTTACTGGTATTATTGTCATTGCTATTGCCCGAAGATTTTAAAAATAGTTATCACAGACCGAGTATAAATGCTGTATATTGTAATTATTTTGACTAAAATGTACGGCCAATACACCAATAACTTTGGTTGTGTTCTATTTAATTTATATAAAGTAGAAACATTTGGTGTTTCTATGTACTCTACTGTAACCTAATTTCCTCCCACATTCTTATTCCAACTTATTAATATTTTTTCCTCTGCAACTCATGATTAGGGTATTAAAATACAAACAATATATTTGTATTTTATCTACACAAAGATTACAACATACAGTACATGTAAATCTGCATATAATGAAAATATAATTATTATTAAATAAGAGTGCTTGGTGAATACAAAATCCACTCAGTTCTATTTATTACAAGATGTATGTAGAATTATGTACACATAATTACACTAAATATTAATTCCTAAAGGAGATTCATTCACAATCTCAATTGACACAATATTGGAATAGTGAAGTGATGAATTATATAAATATAAATGAACAAAGGCACTTAGACAATGGAGTCACCCTACAACAGTTCAATTGTGTTCTAATAGTGTTTATTTCTTGAATATAATCACCTTTTCATGAAATAATGCTACACTGTTTACATATTTGGAAAATATTTTTAATGCATTTGTAGTGTTATTTATCCATATAATTTGGTACAGTAGTTGGTTGTACTAACTACAAGAACTTTAGGTAAATTTATAAAGCAATCAGCATCCATGTTAACACTTTCGCGCTCTCGGCGCTCAAAAAAAAAACAATACCCCAGGTGCTTTCGGCACTTCGCGCGCCTACGCGGTAAGACCGAAAAAGTGTACACTCTTTTGACTGTCCTGACAATAATTGAAGGCGCACGTATTTAAATTTGGTATCACTGTGTTCGCAATGAAATTGTCTATCAGAGCATACCTATAAAATGCCGCCCAAGCATAAGGAGTATCAACACCAAATAAAAAACTATGCAGATCACTCGCCGAGAGCGCCAAACAGCAACAAAATGTTTCCACTTTCTTAATGGTTGCGAAGCCTACAGTTGTCCTACATCGCTAATTTTGGTATCATTGGAATCGCAATAAAATTCTCTACACGGACATATGCATATGAATGTTTAATATAGGTAATTGCCCACCCGCAAGAGTGTGTGAAGTGGAGAGTAGTTAGCCGCGAGCGCACTGGCGAAAACACAGGGGGGAAATCATGCTTGGAAAGTTTATACGTTTCCTGACCCTACTTTTCTATGTACGTATTTCTTTTTTATACCAATGTGTTCGCAATAAAATTTCCTATAAGATGAACTGTATAACATTGGTACAAAGCATGTGTAAGAGAAGCGCCAAATATAGAACCACGTCGCTCAGTATGCGTTCGCGGCAGAAACGAACGCATTGCTTTCGTTCGTTTGATGTTTGTCATGTTTATACTTGTTGAAACATTTTATAATTTGTATGACAGTGATCGCAGTAAAATTCCCTACACAGACATATACATAACACATACAAATATTTCCCACGTGTTGGATATATCAACGGCTAAAGGGAACCCACTGCCACACGCTCGCCACACCCCCAAACATACTTTGTGTATTTTTTTTTTTACTCATAGAAGTTTATGTGATATAATATTCATTCTGGTACCAAAAAATTCGCAAATAAATTCTCTACAAAACAAAAGTATCCCCATCCATTTCGGTTAAAAAGTGGAATTTATAGAAATATTTTTTCGATTGACGAGAAAAGTAGGCAGTTATGCGGAATCGTAAGAAAAACCAGTGACGAGTTATCTCTAATATAAAGCGCGAAAGTGTTAAGACACATGGTATAGCTTTGTCATGTGTGCAGTGTTCTTCACACACTAAAAGTGCATCATTCACCACTCACTGTCATGAAATTATTAGCAGTAAAAGTACATTTTATTTTAATAAAAATGACGCATTATGTTGCCAAGGCATTTTGAATAAGCAGGTCTATCGTTGAGCACTTCTATATGAGACAGTGTCAAGAGGTAGGCCCCGTTCCTGCCACTCATAAACTCTGGGAGGCTCAGAACTCAACACTGATGCAGTAGGCATAGTGCCATTGGAGTGCAGAGCTCCAGGTGGAGGAGGCCCAGGGGGTAACATGATGATAGAACCTGGGGGGAGCACAGGAGTGGTTGAGGGTGGGCTCTCGAGCAGTCTGAGATGCTGCTGGTGGCGCTTTACCCGCCGTCGGTAGCGTGAGTAGAGGCAGCAAACGGAGATGGCAGCCACGGAACCCCCAATGCCTATGAACGCAGCAATCACCAGGACCCACACTTCCACCCAATCCACCTGGCGGGTCTCCCGACGAGGCACACAGCGCTGTGGCAGACATAAAAGGTTACATGTTACACAACAATTCTACATCTAATACTGCACAAGAGAATTTGCATTACATAATAATTGCTATAAAAATATCTAAACAATTGATTTGATTACTGAAATTTAGAATATAAAGGTGTCTAATAATCAACTTGAAGTAGCTTTACATAAATTATTTTCTGCTAAAGCATAATACATTTAACAATTAAAAGACATGATTTACCTCAACTTTTTTTACGGTGTATTTGTGAAAGACCTTCTCCAACTTGTTGTTGTGGGAGGCATCGAGCAGCACCTTTGTGTCATGCATGTTACGTCCCACCAGCTGGAAGCACGACCTGTCACAATACGAACACAAACCATCAGTGTGATTCAACAGACATTTGACATTAAAATCTAGCTGCAGTTTCCAGATCAAATCTATGAAAAAACATTTATTGATGATAAAGTTGCATTTGTTTAAAACATATTCAGGACAATCATGAAGCAATTGAATATAGTACTTTAAATTATATTGGTATGAACCTACTGCAATTTCAGAGGCATTTAAGAACTATAATGTAAATGGTACACACACATTACCTTAACATGTTTGTCTTCAATACAATGGTCTACATAGACCTGTTGTATTTTTATAAATCCAAAAGCTTACTTGAAAACCATCAAAGTAGAAGTTAATTATTACTGTATTTAATATATACTGTAATGTAATTTAATAAGTGTATATATTGAGCATTAATCTTCACCAATAAATAATCTACATCTCGCATTTTAAATTAATTGTGTGTATTATGTTGTATTATAAGGCAGAACCCAAATACACTATATACAGTAACAAGACAAAATTCTTATATTTCTTTAACTTTAGTACAGTTAAATATTTTTATTTGGTACATTTTTATAAATACTGTACAAGCAAACCTGTTTTAAACTATCATTCCTTTTCCCCCCATTCCACTCTTATAAAAATAACATTAAATGTAATGAAAGGCCTCATCTTGCTCAGATGGCTTCCCCCTTACTGAGTCACATGAACCATAAGAGTCCTGTATGGCCTACCAAGGACCAGAACCTGGCCCCCCAATACCAAGAAAATATGCAGAAAGTAAGCAAAGCAATGCAAACAACTGCAAGGTTCACAGAAAGCAAAGCACCAAAACTGCCTGTTGGGCCAAGCTCTAAGTCAGGGCCAGGCTTGGGGAGGAGAACTCCCAGAACCTAATGCAGTTAAATCGAGGTACTCTCTCAAATGATTCATTCAAACCCGAATAATCCACTCTAAACTAATGAATGGCTGCCATCAGGTGACACCCCGGGAGTTCCAAGCTCCCACACTAACAATGAGTCAGGCTGGAACCGATAAATCACGAACGAACGCAACTGGTAGGAGAGGAAATCGGAGCCATTGAGGCCCTACCAGAATGAGGCGTTTCATTAAATTTAACAGTGGTTTTCTGGAAGAGACTCTGGTGGACTCCTGAAGCCAACAACAAAGAGATGGAAAACATGGGACTTGCCAGGGAAGGGGAGAGAGTGACCTTAAAATCCATGACCCCAAGTAGAGGCTCACAATTGTGAACACAGTAGCCAAAGCCGTGAATATGTGAGCAACACAGCTTTGAGGGTAAATTGCAGGCAGGCTACATGTAACAACACTGCAGACAACTCGGGATTAACATTCTCCAGAATAGTGACCAACAAAATCAGAACAGTGTGTCCACTGAAGCAGAGAAGATGGCACAAAGTTAGGTGCGAATCGTTGCACTGGACGCAACATATGACATACTCTGGACTGGACAAACCAAGCAGCAATCCTCAAAGAGACAATCAGCAATCCAAAGGCCAACTATCTCGATCAATGCCAAAAAAAAGAAGGCTGCAAACGATGAAACTGCCCACCAGGGAACAAAAGAATCACACTTTCACACACTGGTGGAGTGAAACTACCAAACCTAACAACTTGAATCTAGAGCCAACAAAAACAGTCTGAAGAAAAGAATCCAGGATTGATGGGGCAACCATACACCAAGGGGAAGAAAGAAACATTAACACCCTCTCAAGAGACCAAAACAGTTCAGGAGGAACACAAGGTGGTTGAAGGAGAAAGAAAGAACTCTTAGACAACTGGCAAAACTGCACTCTGGAGACAGATGCCAAATGCCATCAAGAGTGGCTTCACCAAAGTGCAGCACCAAGAGGTGATAAATAAATATAAGATGCCAATCAATAAAAAGCTAAACAAAAGACAAAACCATAGAACACAGAAGAGACATGACAAAGAGAAAAATGCCAAAAGGAGCACCAGGAAAATTCATACTGCCACTACAATGAAAGACACAGATGGGGCACAAACTATTCAGCCACCTGCTAGATGTGAAAAGGTTTACCTCAGGACAACCGATGTTTGGCAGCGCCAACGTAAGGATTCATCGTTGATGGTCCACTCTATGGAAATGGGACAGAAAAGAGAGAAACCATCCTCAAGAATGTTGGACATTCAGTACCACACATGTTAACTGCTTGGAACATCCCCGTAAGGCCTGCCACACAGCCCCAATCATAACCCACCATGCCATGCCGTGCACCCGAAGGAACAGACCTAACCAATGACCCCTGAGATGTCCTGCGAGCACCAGGCACAAAACCCCAAAGCAAAACTGAGGCATCTGTGAACACATGACCAATGAGACAGGAAGGTGCCACAGAACTGAACCCTGGAAAGCCCAGAGAGGAAGCTGACCAAGGGCATGTGGGACCTAAACCTAACGGTCCAAGCAGCAACGGAACCAAAAGAACCAGGACAATGCCCAAAGCCAAACCCTGCCTAAAGAAAACACCCCCACAAGCAAACCTCAAGCTCTGGCATAACCTCTCAAGGACCACAAACCTACTATGTGGGTGGGGATACACCACCAGAGAACTCGGGGAAACAACCTGAAAATCCCACAAACCAGACACAGGAACTGGAAAAAACAATCCAAAAAAACCCACAGCACCATCAAGAGGGAAACCATGAAGGGCTAGCCTGAAGCCCAACAAGCACATTCCCCCCTCTGGGGTAGCTCAACCACTTGGGCTGGACGGTAGAGTGATGGTCTCACTTCATGCAGGTCGGCGTTCAATTCCCGACCATCCAAGTGGATGGGCACCACTCCTTCCCTCCCCCGTCCCATCCCAAAATCCTTATCCTGACCCCTTCCCAGTGCTATATAGTCGTAATGACTTGGCACTTTCCCCCTGATAGTTCCCTTCCCTTCCCCTCTGGGGTACTGAAAATGACAAATAGCCAACAGAAGTACCAGCTGGAGAAGGAAGGACAGACATGAGAAGCAGGTCTACCTACATCCCAGGGAAAGGATAGGAACAAACAAGCAGCTTCAAAGCAGCACAAAGAAGCACCATCCAAGAACACCTGAAAGACAGAACCCATTGCCTTCCAATCAAGTGTTTAAGTTCAGCAAAAACCATGGTAAGAACCCCTTTTCCCCCCAATATATCATACGCCTGGGGGTAAAAAGTAGGCTTGCCTCTCTAGGGCAAACTTCTAAATACACTGAGAAGCCACTCAATCTGCATAGGGGCAATGCTATATGAGTGCTCAGGGAAGGGCTGCCCTAAATATGTGCAGCTCATAGGCAATATGAAACCAAGTCCACACAACAAGTGAGGTTTGTTAAACATGTGAACATGAAGCAAATACTTAAGGTTATGAATTATACACATGTACATGGACCCCACAGTAGAGTCCACAAAGATGGCCTACACTTACCTTGGAAAAGAAGTGGGACTCACTACACCTGGCAACTTGAAGAAAGTCTGATTGTTCAGCCAGCAGTAACAGGACTAATTGCTAAGGAGGGAGTGTGGAGCTCTGGGGGTGCCACCTGTTGGTGGCCATTCATGCTAGGGCAGTTTGAGCCGTTTTGAATGATCATTCAGATTTGAATGAATAATTTCCATAATAATTTGAACACTTTGGTGCATCATTTTCTGTGAACCTTGCTGTTGACTGTATTGCTTTGCTTACTTTCTGTATATTTCCCTTGTGATGGTGAATGTAACATACCCTGCTCCCCTGTGAAGTGACCAGATTCTGGCTCTGGTAAGCCATACAGGACTCCTATGGCTGATGTGAATCAGTAGGGAAGAACCCATCTCAGCAAAATAGGTTCTGGGAGCCACCAGAGGCTTCTCCAGAAAATGGACTATACATTTATCAATGAGAGCCTGGGACACTATCCCACCCATCTTTACCCAGTGCTGGAGAAGTCAATAGCACCGTCAGCATCGGAGTAGTAACTGGTGTCATAGATGTTGAGTGAGGCAGTGACAGGTAGCACCTTCTCCACATCTTTCCTGAAGGTGGCTAGCTGGCGGCGTACCTCCCCTGGAGTCATGCCAAACACAAACCGCATCAGGTCTGAGTCACGCAACACATAGATCTAAGGGTGACATGACAAATAATTTAATATCCTTAATTTTTAACGTATACAGTACAGTATAACTTTTATCATTATAATAAAATGCTGAATGAAGTTTATACTATACAATAATACACTTACAGTACAGTATTTGGAAATACTACAAGTTAAACATTAGTTTCATTACTTACATCAAACTTAAAATATTGAGCAATTTGAAGGATATCAATCCAGACCAATTCTTTAAAAGGTCAAATGTAACACAAAGAAGGAGCAACAGGTTAAAGTTCAACAAGCAACACTGCAGGATAGAAAACAAGACCCATGCTATGTAATGGGTCCATAGCATTTGTAATGCTATGGGTCTTTTGACCCAAAGCATTACAAACCCATAGAACCGCCTACCCGCCAAAGCTGTAAATGTCAAAATATTGTTGCAGTTCAAAATCCAGCTTGATAAAATCTAGACAAATGGGGGTGTTCCTTTGAGAAGCTGTTAGTTTCCTGTCTTGTCAAGGCCACCAGAGAGATGGCATACCTTCAGGTAAGGTATGTATTTGCAAGTACAGAACTGCTACTATACATGTATATTAAAAGAAGTCATTGTATGCAACTTACTACCAATATTGTTTTGGGAACTATCCTTGCATAATAAAATGCAATGCTGTGATGTATGACAATGTCTTTGTCCACCCACTTTTCATTCCATGTGATCAACTTTCTCATACAAACTTATCTGCCAGATATACTTGTAACTAAGTGTATCTCAGTGGTGACATTTACAATGAGTTCATTACTTGCCCTATTATGTAACTCTAATTTATAAATACTGTATTGACTACCTTGTCACCCGGTCCTCACCAAATAAATTGCTTTAGTTTTGATTGGCACAAGATGCCAATCAATAAAAAGCTAAACAAAAGACAAAATCATAGAACACAGAAGAGACATGACAAAGAAAAATGTCAAAAGGAGCACCAGGAAAATTCATACTGCCACTACAACGAAAGACACAGATGTGGCACAAACTAGCCACCTGCTAGTTGTGAAAAGGTCTACCTCAGAGTAACCGATGTCTGGCAGCGCTAACGTTACTGGTGCTGCCAGCACAGGTTGGCAGCACACAAAGAAGCGCTGCCGATTCATCGTTGATGGTGACACTAAACAGTAGTATGTATTATGTCTTTGTTAACATCACTGCTATGTGGGAAGCAGCCTTTAATACCACATTACATTTTCAATAAGGGTTCATTGCTATACTATAAATATCAAAGCTTTTCAGCCTCAGAGTGCTTGTTTTTATAATGTACAAAATTGAGCTACTATATATCTGAATAGAAAGTCTAAGCATGTCAATGCACCACATGGTGAGATGTGCATTCTTAAGACCACAATGTGTAGAGATGCATTTATGACCACTGAGGGAGCTTATGAATGTGTATGACCTGTGAATGATTTCAGGAGTTTTATTCCTGTAGCCTGACCTGAAGCCGACCCTCTCTAATGACTGCCTGGTCTATGAGGCTGTCTGTCACTGTTGCCCACATGATCACTGCCAGGCAGATCCAGTAATTTCTTCAGAAACTTCTTGCATTATGAATTCAGAGCTCCCAAAAAATCTTAGCTAAGTATTCCAAGTTAGCCAACTAAAGGTAGGTATACACTGATTAATATTTTCATTGATACCTGCTTGATGAATGCAGGGTGCATATAATAGCCAAATTAAAATTGAATATAATTAGTTAACCACAATATGAATTGCTTAGGTTAAAGAATATTGGAGTTCAGTTTCTGAACCCATTATGTGATTAATATTTATGCTTCCACCCAGATAATGTTAAACTTAAAACGAAGGTAACTAGTTCAAATTTAAAACAAACGTTCTCGGTTTTCAAGCCTCTCACCGTGAGTTGGGCAATTGCTGGTTCATCAGTGGGTGCAGAGTAGGCAGTGACAAAGGCTGTGAAGATACCATGGGCATAGCGAGTGAGGGGTGCATTGGTTCGTAACACACCCGAAGATTCTTCCAAAAGGAAGACACCCGTAGCATTCACTTCCTCATCAGGCAGGAGCTCCACTGAGTCCTCAATGTGTGAGAAACTGATGTTGTGAAGGCTGTACCTGCCACCATAATGCAAGACAAGGTTACAGTTTTCTTTTGAGTACATTTAAAAAATGTAGTATTTTTCTAATTCAATATTTTAGTGACAATGTTACAAAATACAATATGACAAACATATGTTACTATAAAGTCTCTCTCATCCATGAACTAAAATCTCAGAACTCCCATAAATTATATCTGCCTAATTAAATTGAATGAAAAACATTATCTTCTGGATGAAGAGGAATTGAAATACAGTACTGTATATGTATATAATAATATACAAGTAAGAGGAAGACAAGTGTGTGCTTGGTGAAAGAGGTGAGAGACAGACCTGATGGGGAGGGCAGTGGGGTCCTTGTCCTCTGCCTGCAGCCTCACCACCTCTGCCTGAAGTGCCTCGTCCACCCTCACTCCCGCCGTCACCACCGCCTTCATGAACATGGGTTTGTTGTCATCCAGGTCCTTTACCACAATGTGCACCTGACAATTTAACATCCATTATAATAAGAACATATTGCATATACAGTATATGCTGGAGGAAGTCTAAATTGTAATGGGTGTATGTTAGTGCTATGTAATCTCTAATTTAACTTGGCATATTAAATTATATATAATTTATATATAATATATATATAATACATATTATATATATAGTTATATTATATATTAAACTATATATAATTTAATAAGTTGTATATGTGTAATTACTGTACCTAAACGTAATTACAAAATGAGAGCTAAGCACATGGTGTCCCATCTTCCATGTAATATGTCAAATGACATTTTGAATTTATTGAGTTTTGACATCCACTATGTTCTCATCATTAAATTATTATGATTGATGTATATTTGTGTATGTGAGTAGCCCACATCAGATAAATGTGAGTAGCCCATACCAGATGAACGAGAGTCATCACATACCTGCATCATTGCAGGGTTGGCCGGGTCGTAGGTCTTCCTGCTGGGCATCCTCCTGCCAAGCTTGCCACACAGCAATGTCAGAGTAACAGACTCGACCTGGAATTAAAATAGTTTAAACATTTTTGTATTAAAATCAGACTTCAAAGTCATACAGCTCGACATGAGAGTTATACAGAATGTTTAGTCCTCAGTTGTTCAATAACCTCCCAGCAAGTACTGAGTAAGAAATACTGCTGGAACAAATGTGGATTTCAAGAAAAAATTAGGCATTTTCCTGAGAGAAATGCCTGACCAATTTGTTGCAGTGGATATATGTGCCCCGTGGACCATGCCAAGCATTAGTTTGTTGGACTACTACCCAAGCCTGGCCCCAGGTTGGCTTCTGGGAGTAGGAGAACTCCCAGAACCCTCTCCAGGTACAATCCAGGCACAATGATCTTTAAAGTGTAATATGCAGTACTAAAAATTTTATAAATTTATATTTTATTTTAATTAAAAAGGACAAAAATATCACAGACTAGTTTCTATTTTAATAACAAGCTCAAGAAATTAACCAAATTAATTAAGCATAAGTAAGTATTATTTATAAGTAATGTTCAAATGATTGCGAGACTGGAAGTGACACTGGTGACTGTGAGACTGAAAGTGGCACTGGTAATTGTGAGACTGGAAGTGACACTGATGATTGTGAGACTGGAAATGACACTGATGATTGTGAGACAAGGTGGAACTTACCTCTTCCCTGTCAACATGTCCCTTGACATAGATCATGCCACTGTTGTCCGAGGTTCTGTTCACCCCAAACAAGCCATCATTGTTGCCATCTGTGGAGATATAACAACACCTGAGTATACTTTCCTGCATCCTCCACTACCATGTGGTTACTGGTTATTAAAAACCAGTGTTGAATGTAATGAAATGCCTCTTTCTGGAGAAGCCCTGGTGGTTCCCTGAAGTTACCTTGCAGAGAATTCCCATACTTAAAGGTAACATCAATTGCAAAAGTTCTGTATGGCCTACCAGGGACCAGAGCTAGAAACTGGCCCTATCACAGAGGCACAGGGAGCAGCTGACAATCCGCCACACCACCAGAAAAAGTCTTGTGAAAGTCAGCGCAGCTTACAGACAACTGAAGGGTTCACAGAAAATGAAGCCTCAAAACTGCTAAACAACTCCTTAAATAATTCACACAGAACAAGGGATTTACATAAACTAGCTCAAAACTCGTTAGTACCAATTACCGCCACCAGACAGCCATGCTCCAGCCCTTGATCGACTCCCCCATTTCAGTTCTGGAGCTGATGAACAACTCACGTTAAACCTTTGAACATTAAGGGTTTAAGCCAAGAGGAAGGGAAGTAGGGAATCAGGGAGCCACAGTGAACATTGAGAGAAGAGCGTATATGTTGCTTTCCAATCTCAGAATTGCTTTTAATTATATGGATGGTGAAATACTAAAGAAACTGTTCATGACTTTTGTGAGACCAAAATTGAAATATGCAGCAGTTGTATGGTACCCAACTACATAAATAAAATGGAAAAGGTGCAACGGCATGCTATAAAATGGCTTCCGGGACTGAAAAACAAGAGTTATGAAAAGAGACTGGAGGCATTAAACTTATTAAGCAAACAAAACTAGAAGATAGAAAAAAAAAAGATATGATCACCACTTGAACAGGGAAACAAGGAAACAAGACGAACCCACGAAGCCTCCACCAAATCAGAATCGGTGGCACTGAGGTAGCATCAGAGAGCTGCCACCAGACACAGCGTATGATGTACCCCAGGCTAAACCAACTAAGAATCAATAACCAAAAAGAGCCCTCCAGAATCCAACCAACTCATTCTTCACCAGTAAAGGAGCCAGCTGCAAATTAAAAAAATGTCCGCCAGGGTCAAAAGAACAGAAATCATAACTCCAGAGAGCATGAAGCTCCATGACCAGATAACTGGAGGCATGGGGAAACCAAAAAAATGCCTCAGAATGAATCATGGACCAAAGGGTACAACGTAAATCGAGAAGAGGAAGGAAAAGTGAGAACACGGTCCAAAGACCAAGCAGGCTCAGGTAGTGCATGAGCAAGCCAAGGCTAAACAAAGCACGAAACAGCCTGTGAAACAGTGCCAAGGTATTATGAACAAATGCAAGCTGCAGCAGCTCCACCAGTGCCGCATAATACAATGGGACAGTATTCAGAATGAGATGCCAATCAAGGAAAACCTAAGAAAGAAAGGAGTGCACCACATGCTTGGAAACCAACTTACAACAACAAAGGGAAAGTAAGTAGTGAAAGAAGCACCACGAACTTAAAGGGAGAAAAGTTCCTCTCTAATATGATTATTTCCCGTACAATACATGTACTGCATACCAAGTTACTATATCAAAGATTTTTATTCAAAACAAAAAATTAGTCTATGAATGTGTTTATTATTTACTATTTAATAATACTAAAAGGGATGCACAATATTATTTTATTTTAAAGGACTTGAGTATGTGATTCCTTCCTGCCTGACAAGGATAAATTCTGCAAGTTTTATCTTTCACATCTGGCCTTCTTGTCGCTTTTCATACTGTACAATGGCTTGGCTTAAATAACAATGAAAAAGACTTCTTTTTCATTTGACGTTTAATAGTGATGTGCTTACTCATGTACCTCACTCCTGACATTGCTCGTCATTGTGATACGTGTCATGTGGCCTGTTCTGTGCACTCTTTGACTCTTGTCAGTGTGTGTATCTCTTGTCATTCTTATGTGTTATGTCATGTGCATTCTAGGGTTCATGTCGATATTATGATTTGTGTGACTCACCTATGATGCGGTAGTCGACAAGGGAATTGTTGCCGCTATCGTTGTCGACAGCCGACACGTACCCCACCAGCGTACCCAGGGCTGCCTCCTCCTCCACCTCCAGCTCCAGCGGTTTGCCTCCCTGCACATGTCATCTCACATTGATTTAATGAAAACATTATAATTTTATTCTACTCTTTATACTATTAATTAGTACAGACAAGTGCAGAATATTACAGAATCAGTATGTATGATCACAGCCAGTGAAGGAGTCATATACTGTATGCTCTCAATATTAAATGTTAGCACTTAAACAATTATAACATGTCAAAAAGCACACCTTATCATTGCTGTATACAAAAGAAAATATTGCTTTAAGGACAAATATTAATTGTTGTAAATAAGTGACCACTGCTGTTTTATTTTTTAAAGAAATGGTAAACACAAGAAATTATCAATTAAACAATTAGACATTTTTAGATTAAAAATGTAGAGAAAATTTCAAAATATTTACTTATACTGTACTGTTAGTTACACACCCAGAACCGCAGAAATACAATAGACCAATGTGCCAATATTGATCTAATTTATATAATATTTGATGGGATGCTCGAGTCGACCCCAGAAGATTATGCCAGTTAAGTATTGGGAGTGCCCAAAATGTAGATCTGCCCTCAAAAATAATATACCGGTAATAAGCAAATGGTAAAACTTTTAAAACTCACATCAGCTGACGTGACTTCCATCGTGTCAGCTGTGTGCGTTCACCGAGCTGTGAACCATCTCGGTGTATAGCGTCAGGGAGCCACACGGAGCTCCCCCAAGAAAATACATATAAATTCACTGAAAGACAGTTGCTGCCAACCTGGAGCCTGACAAAGACCGGAGTGTTGTCATCAGAGTCGGTGACATTGATAACGAGGAGGCGAGAAGCGAGCTGTGGGGGTCGGCCCAGGTCCTGAGCTACAACTACCACTGTGTACTGCTCGCGCATCTCCCGGTCAAGCTCCACCCGAGTGCTGATCATCCCTGTTGTAGGATCTGGTGACAGAAAGTCATATACAGTAATTATAAAAAGTAATAAAATGAATAACACAATCCGTATTTGCCATCAATGGGATAAGTTTGGGTTTCCATTCCAAAGGGACTCCAGGATGAGAACCACTGTATGCCAAGGCCAAAGGTTGAACTTTCCAAGGATGTAACCCACAACAGTTGCCTAACTTCCATAATGTAAATTTACTGCTAGGTGAACAGAAGCCACGTTTAAGGAAACATGCCCAAACATCTCGTCTTGCTCAGAAATCGCACCCTGGACCGTTCAATTGCGAACCAACTGCAATAACCACTGATTTGCTACCTATAACAAAATTTAATTCCTAGAGCACCAATGACAATCACTTCCATGTCAGAATGTGGCAGGGAACGTTAAAAATTAAAAGGAAGATAACGATCTCTTGATGGTTATGATTTTAGGAAATCCATTAAACTCACAAGATAATTATCAAAAGAAGGCACCAAGCCTGGAAGAGTATATAGCAAACTTACCAGAGTATATGTGAGAAGTTTCTGATTAACATCCTTGCAGAAACTTGCACCAATTACAGACATCCATAGAACAAACATCACACTGTCAGCAGTTGCCTGCATGACATACACCACACCACGGAAAAATGAGGGCAGTAATCAGAGGCAATGTATCAAACTGGATGAATGTCATTACTGGAGTACCACAGGGTTAAATTTTTGCACCAGTAATGTTCATGTCTATATAAATGATCTACCAGAAGGAATACAGAATTATATGAACATATTTGCTGATGATTTTAAGTGTGGAAAATATCCACCAAAGATAGAGCATAGCATGTCTTAAGTTACAGCAAACCTATAAAAGTCTTACACAGAACAAGGAACTACATGGTCTTCGAGAGAGAACATGGACCAGGCCTAGATATTTTTAGATTAAAGTGATATAAACAACAGTAAAGTGGACAGAGCTACCAGCCACACCCAACGCCATCAGGTAAGCCAGATGCCATTACTCTAAATCAACACCACTTCATCAGTTAACTACAAAAAAATAGTGCCCAGTCCACTGAGAGGGCTATACAAAGTCTTAACAAAGAACTTAAAGGATTGTCAAAGACTTTGGGCACCCAGATTCTACACTGAAATTAAAAGGACAGTTTGTGATACATTGTTATTGTCAGAGATCCTTGCCAAGATGTTTGTGTGCCACTAATTCTTTCTGTTACAAGAATTTGGTTATACCATGGGCATTTAAGCCCAAATCTATCAGTGAAAGATACTTGCCACTTAATTAATTATAACTAGGTTAACTAATACAGTATTTAAAAAGAGTTATATTCCAATTGCTTAAAGATAAAATAAAATATAAAATTTGCAATAAATAAATTCACAACAATAAAGAATAAAGTAATAATTCTCATAATTGTTTACAATTATTAATACACAAAAAAATACAGTACCAGAATTAAAACATTAGGTCAAATAAAATATATAACTGATACCAGAGCATGCTGCATTATAATTACATTTAATTTTATCATTGGGTACTGAGATTTATTTACTCAATAGGTAAATGAAGATAGCACCATCTCTATTGAGTCTCCCTCCCGACATAGTCCCCTAAGGAACACAACCATACAGTCCACTCAGTAGCACACAGCTATGCCAACACAGTCTTCCCAAGGGACACACAAAACATCACTACTACACCAATTAGCAGCTAAGACCTTGTATACTATTTATTTAGTTATTTTTATCTGTTAAGTTAGTAGTTTAGTTCTTTTAATTCTAAGAATTATATTTTAAATGTGCATATACTGAGGGAGTCAATAAAGCTCACGCTAAGAGTCTAGGGAAGATAAGAAACTTAAGACAATTGCCGTGCCCTTCAATGAGACCTGGACAAAATAAGTGTATGGAGCAACACTTGGCAAATGGAATTTAATGTGAATAATGTAACATAATAGAATGTGGAATAGGAGACAATAAGCCACACATGATCTACAAATTATGTGAAAAAGCTTTAAAGTATTCCGATAATGAAAGAACTAGAGGTAGTTCTAGATAGAAAATCGTCATCTGAAGACCTCACGAAGAACAATGTGCGAGAAGCTTTCCAATTTCAGAATTGCTTTTAAATACATGGCTGGCCAAATACTAAAGAAATTGTTCATGACCTTCGTGAGACCGAAGTTGGAATATACTGTACAGCAGTTGTATGGTGCCCAACTTGAAGTACATCTACAAACTGGATAAGGTGCAAAGACATGCAACTAAATGGCTTTCGGAATTGAAAGAAAAGAGCTACGAGAAGAGGTAAGAGGCATTAAATATGCCAAAGTTAGAAGATAAAAGAAAAGAGTCAATATGGTCACTACGTACGTACAAAATATTAACAGGAATCAGGAAAATTTATAAAGAATTCTTGAAACCTGGAACTTTAAGAATAAGAGGTCATAGATTAAAACTAATTATGCAAAGCTACAGAAAAAATTTAGAAAACTCACTTTTGCAAACAGAGTGGTAGACAGAACAAGTGAGAAGGTGGAGGAGGACAAAGCTATCAAGAATTTCAAAGCGCAACATGACAGGGTAATGGGAAGATGGGACACCACAATCGTAGCTTTCATCCTGTAACTACACTTAGGTAATTACCATCAGCAAACACTTAATGGGCACGTACCAATGTCAAAGACCCCATCATTGCTGCCGTCATCGAGGAAGGAGTACACGATCTTTCCATTGGGTGTATTTGGGTCATCTGGGTCCTCAGCCTCGACCTGGAACACTGCTGTCCCAACTTTGGAGTTCTACAGGAGACACACCACCCAAAAGGGGAGTTAGTTTTTATCACATAAATCATATGAAAACACAATACAAAGGCCTCAAGGTGTGACTGAAATACAAATTCATTCAGTGTAAGCTTTACAGAATTACAACATTTATTAAAAGAAACAAAAATTGTAATTATTTTTTAGTTATTTACTATTGCTTGGAAATGCTCTATAGAAAACAAATGTGCTTTCTGACTGGTCTTTCAACTGTTTTCACAAGCTTCAAGTATATTTCCCTTATACATATTAAAACCTTTTATTTATTTGTATTATTTATTAATATATAAAAAGGTACAGTACAATGTGTTGTGAAAGCACATACACTGATGATTAAGTGGTACATTGTTGTAAAGCACTAACACCCATTACAGCCGGATCCTAAAGCTAACAAATAAAAGCAATGATAGCTACATTGTAACAGAATTTGAGTTCACATAATAACTACAAGGTACTTAAGTAGTTAGTTTAGTTCATTTATTATGCACCCCATACCCATCGTTTGGGCGGTAGTGGAAATGACAAATTATACTGTACTCATGAAGTTGCATTTCTAGATTGTAATATACTGTGAGAGTGGGTAACGCAAGGTGGGATACTATGAAGACTAAAGTAGATACCTCATTGTTCTACTTTTTATTAGAGTACAGCTTGGGCAATTTTTAAATACATTAGGAAGCAAGTTCCATATATTACATCCTTATATTTGCATGACGTATTTGCAGAGATTTCGTCTGACTCTGAGAATATCAAAACTAATATCAAATACGGGAATATTTGGGAATATCAAAACTCTGCCCGAAACGCTACGCGTACTAGTGGCTGTACAAGAATGTAACAACTCTTGTATATATCTAAAAAAAAAAAAAAAAAAAAAAAAAAAAAAAATTATTTCTGGTGTGATGCTCTTGGGTTCTGTTACATCGATCTAGGAAGTTTCAAAACAAGATTAAAATCTAAGAATAGGGTTTTGTAAGTGTAAATAGCATAAGAGAATGTGTGGGGCAAGTGTATATTTAGCAAGTTTAGGGATTTAAACAGAAGCGCTGAGTGTTGTCTGGAGACATAATTTGTTATAGTTCAGATAGCTGAACTAAAAAAAAAATTATTTGCTGGGTGATGATGGGCTTGATGTAGTTTGCAGTGGATGAACCCCCATGCACTGATCCTGTAAGTTAGCTTGGGATAGACTAGCGAGTTGTGTAATGTCAGAAGAGCAGAATGGGGAACATAATATTTGATTTTTGAAAGTTTACCAACAGTTTCCGAGACTTGCTTGGCTGTGTGCTGTTCATAAGTACCGAGGTTGTCTCTTCTCTATTTATAGACCAAGGAAATTTCCCTCAATTTTTCTATTAATGTTGACATTGTCTATCTGAAGGTGTATTTGGTTCCATGATTTGTTTCTAAATAAAATGTGGTAGGTCTTTTCTAAGTTTAGTGTGTGAGTTTGTTGGTTGACATCTATGAGGGGACACTTTTTTCTTTTTGACTCATTATTTACAATATTATTTAGTTTGGGGTTTGAAAAGATAAAGGCAATATCATCAGCAAATAGTATGGGTTTAAGAACATTACAGACATTTGGCAGGTCATTGATGTATAGGAGGAATTAGAGAGGTCCTAAGCTGCTGCCTTGTGGCACTCCTATGGTCAATACCTTTATCACATAAATTGCAAATTATATTAAAGCTCATTCTCATACCTCCAATACACTCGCCCCCTCATTAGGTGCAGGGCGCTTGAAGGTGGGGACGCCGTCGTTGGTTGAGACATCACCAATGAAGAGCCTGATGGTGGCCTCGGAATACTGCTGGGGAGATCCTTGATCAAGAGCCCGCACCGTTAGCTCATAAGGCTCGGTGCGGCCCTTACCACTCAAGGGGGCTCGGACTGACAACACACCAGTTTCGGCAGCCAGAGAGAAGAGCCCTGTGAGGGAGATGAACACAGCTATGGGTTACACTCACATATTTTGCTTGGTGATTATTACTCAATAACTCAGCCGATTAAAAACTCCATTAGCATAATGAAAGAACACTGTCCAGAAACCAAGCTGGATCAGGCAGACATGTGAGTAGGCTGGAGGTGAAGCAGTGCATGAGATAGCTTGCAAAACAAAGCCAAGGTAGTATCAACCCCAAATGCAAGCTGTAGCAGCTCTGCCAACGCCACATAATACAAAGCAATAGTATTTGGCATGAGATGCAAATCGATAAAAAACCATGAAACACACACTCAGAAACCAAAGAACAATGACGAAAAAAGGAAGTCACCTTGAAGAGGACCACTGGTGGGACCACCAATGAAGGCACCTGATCACCACAAAGATGGCAATAAATATGTGTAAAAATTACCAGACGCGTATAAAGGAGAAGGTCAACCTAGTGAGGCACTCACTGGGCTGACCTTGGCTGAAAGAGGCAGAGCCACGGAAAAACACCCGGATTCAGACACTAGATAAGCAGCACTTGAAACAAAGGCCAAGCTAGCCACCAAAGAGCCGAAAGGATCACCCTATCCCTATAGAACTCCAACCTGGCCAGGACCCGAAGCAACAGCTGGACTGTGAAAAGTGGTACTGTACAGGAATTTCCCACCTCAACCAGTCCAGCCGAAAGGCATCTACCATGAGGACCTCACAAACTGGAAATGGTACCTCATACAGAGGAAGGCACCGAGATAACGGCAACACGAAGAGTTCCAAGTCCGGGCACCTGAACGTTTTGAAAAGCCAAAGGAAGGAGGCAGTATTGATGGTCCACTCTTTGGAGACAGGAAAGAACCAGGACAGACCATCGATGAGGATGTTTGACACTCCCTGGGATATGAACAGCACAGAGAATCAAACCCCAAGAACTGAGCAGAAGAGCTATGCGTTGAGACAATGAATCACTGGGAACAGTCCAAATGAAGCCACAGCATGGAGCCCGGAGGAATCCACACTTTCCGTAGTGCATGCCACATGGCCACAAACTCCTGAACTGTACTGTGGACCTAACGAAGTAGACAAGACCAACGACCATGGCTGGCTTGATGAGCGCTGGTCCCAAAGCCCCAAACCAGAGCTGAGGAGTCCATGAACACAATATTTCGAGTGAGGGCGGAGGAAGGCATAAGGGAACCGAACCTTGAAAAGCCTGAAGAAAAAGCTGGCGATTCTTCTCCCTTTCCTGCCCCTCTCCCCTTCCTCTGGTCACTTTCCCCTCATCTCCCTACCCTCTACCCTCCAACCTCGAACAGACATTACCATTTATATACCGTATTGTATACTGTATATATTGAAGTGGCACCCTACTGCATCCACGTCTCTTCCCCTCTCCCCTTTCCACTCATTCCCCCTATTCCCCACATTTCCCCCTTGTCCACCATCCTTCCCCTCATCCCACCCCACCTTCCCCATCCCTGCTATCTCCTCCCTTCTTAGAAAATTTATTGTATAACCACTAAAAAATCTTGGGAAATCATGCCAAATATTTCACACACCTGACTCCATGAAAATCACATGGGGATGATAAATCACATAAATGATATTTATTAAAGCATTTAACTTTGGCATATCCTAACCAACGTATGTTGGACTCGTACACCTGATCATTACCCCTGCAAAGTTGGGTGAGGTTAGCCAACTGGCATTCAACTTTAGGCAGAGACAGAACACATTCTCGCATAGTCTCTGCTAGAAGGGGTACCCAGTAGTGCCTGGGACAGTCTCTCTTCTCCACCCCCCATTCCACCCCTATTCTTGAACCTCACTCTTCATATCCCCCCTCACCCCATCCTCCTCTCCTGTTCCCCTCCAACTTCAGTCAGATTTCCATTGATAAATATAAAAGGGGTATCCAGCAGCACTCTAGTCTCTTCCACCAACTTTCCACCCTTTTTCCCTCTTCTCCATCTACTCTCATCCCCCCTTTATCCTCCCCCAATTCTACCCCTGCTCCCTTCCCCCTTCAATAAGCACTGAAACAACTGTTTGGGTTTCAGATTGCTTTTCTCTACACTTCTCATTATTTCCTTTTGCTTTTACTACGATCACTAAAACTTTACATTAATCACATGACATATTTCACTTTTGACATGAAAAATGGCCTGGGAACCTTTGTAATTTACTGGAGTAATATTTCTTAATGTACTGTACAGAAAAATGAGACTAAGGACAGCCACTGACCATCGACCTCTTCCTGGGGCTCCGGTAGCTGGTAACGGACGATGCCATTGACACCAAGGTCCGGGTCTGTGGCCAGCACAGTGGTAACAGGGCTCCCCACCCCTGTGTTCTCCGCCACCACTGCCGTGTAGGATGACTCACTCCACTTGGGGGACTCGTCGTTCACATCTGTCAATTCTATCTCCACCTGAACCATACCAAGATAAAGGAATTACAAGTCGGAAAGAATCGTGGTGAGTCAAGCACAGTCAATAATTCTGAGATACTTTCAAGTAACAAAGGCTATTATTGCTAACTTGTGAGAAGCTGTTATAATTGCATATAAAATTAAATAAATTTCATAAAATATCTGCAAATAACTATGTAATACTGGGGTTGGATTTAAAAAGATTCAAATGACTGTAATATACAAGTGCTAATTAAAATTTGAAAGAGCGGTGGTTGAAAACCTACAATGACAGTTGTCTTGCGCTGGCTAATGCCTCCCTGAGGAGTGTCGTGGGCCGTCACCTCCAGGGTGATGGTGGGTGTCGTCTCCCGGTCCAGCTGTGCCCCACGAGCCACAACAATCTACAAACACAGTTGACATAAGCACTACCTTCACAAATTGACATCTGCAGCATTGTAATAAGTGATGCTATATAGCACCTTTTCCTTGAATAGATCAATGTTTAATATTTAGAAGGAACAATGTAGGTGTAATACAGTACAGACCTCTCCGGTGGTCTCATTGATCACGAAGAGGAGAGCTCCCTCGCCACCAAGAGAGTAGATCACCTGTCCTCGCTCCTCAGTGTCTGCATCAGTTGCATTCACTGTCAATACAGATTTGGGGAAGCGGGCATCCTCGGCCAGTCGGGCATGGTACTCCTGAAATGTCGCATGTCTTTATGTGCAACAGATCTTAACTATACCTCAACATAATCTTAAAGTACAAATAATTAATCACACAACATAATGAAAATAATCATCCTACAATGAGGATGAGTATTTTAGTGAAATGATCAGTGACATTATACCCAAAAGAGTTTGGGCCTTGGGACAAAAATAAACATTAAATTACGTTTTCTGTGAAGATCGGGCTGTTGTCATTAACGTCCTCGATGTTGACAATGACAGTAGCCTGACTGGAACGATCACCAGCGATAGCCAGCACCTGCAGTGATGTTGTCTGACGGAAAATTATGTAACCATCCATTATTGTATCATTAATTGTTGATTTCTATTTTAAATGCTTAGAAATGTATTTTTTAGTCGTAAACAATGATACATCTGAGATGTAAATGAGTAATTGACAACAGGTATATGTTGCCCAACATTTGTGATGTTATGTCATTTTGAATGAGTGTTTAGTACAGTCAATTCATAACCAATTAGTCGTGGGGTTCATTTCCCAAGCAGGATAGAGACTTTGGGCAAGTTTCCTTACACCTCTTATCTAGCGGTAAAAAGGAATCAAGAAGTAGAAAGTACTATACTTAAAGTAATTACTAATGATAGTTGAGTGAAGCAATAATCATCATTTCACATTCCAATTCTAAAACAATGTTATCATAATGCAGTAATTAAGTAACCACACACTCCCACCACATTAAATATCACAAAACATATAACCAATTAACAACATACTTTAGTTTGTGATGCTTCATAATCAAGGCGAGAGTTGAGCGAGACCTGACCAGTGATGGGCGCCACAGTGAACATCTCTCCGTGGTCCGACCCCGTCACCTTCTCATACCGCCTCACAGGCTGACCTGTACCACAGTATGATCACATATTCACTCACTTGGCTTGTATGTATGGCAATGATTAGAAAAAACATTGCATTTGCTGTGTTTTTTCGAGAAAGGTGATACAGTAGATGATAAAACATAATTTTATCATAAAACTTTCTCAGGTAAATTACGAGAAAAACAATAATGTCATGCTGGTAACAAATTAAAGTGCCTTAGTAAAGCATTGATTAAAATGAGTGTTGCAACTTCCATCCCTGAGGTTACAGATGCAGGCTGAGGAGGAGCACCTCCAATAATCTTAAAGAAAAATTAAATAAAAATACAGTACAGTGTACTGTAATTCAGAAGTTTGATCTCACTGATGTGAATACAATGAATTAAACAAGGCAACAGTACTGATGCAACTAACTTAACAAGAAGCTGTGTTATGGTTACAAGTAACCTGAACACACCATAGATAAAAGGTATCAAAGATATAATTACTTGAGCTGAAAGTAGGGCTATGTAAGGGAGACAAGGAATTCTTTAGATATGACATTAAAGACAATGAGCTGTGTTGTATTGAAGAATCATATTACTATAATTACACCAACCTGTGACAGGATCTTTGGCAGTGACAGAGAAGACAATGGTGCCAGGTTCCTGCTCCTCCTTGACGGTGACCTCAAGCTGGGGCCGAGCTGGAGTCCAAGGAGGAGCAAATATTGGGTTCTGGTCGCTGAACGCCTGCACATACATGGTTACCTCAGCTGTGACAAGGTACACACAGTTTCAGGAGAGGGAACTATAATCACCTAGGGTAATGGATCATCGGTCTACATAAAACAATGACTAGCAGTGTGCATGTTGATGTGCTCATGTTGACATTTACTCTTACCTGACAGAAGCAGTTAATAAAGTTTCTCAATTCAAAACTCAACATACTTAGCTTAAAGCAATTATTTAGTGCTACAGTATATAAAATAGTAATATTTTATTCCATAAATAATTGATATCAATAGATGTTGAGCTCTCTGACCTGTGTCGGTTTGGTTGGGGAAGGCTGCGGAGGCATTGTTGTCGGTGACTGTGATAGTGAGGATGATGACAGCTGCAGCATTATGGTCCAGAGCCCCGGACACTTCCACCTCGCCCGTCTTCCCATTGATACTGAAAAACAAGTATGTGTGTATATCATCCTACTGATGCTGAAACATAAGTATAGCTGGAGGACTTGAAAGTGAAACACAGCTGGAATTGTTATTTAATAAGGTTTAAATAGTAAATTTAGTAAATTTTAGTTAATTGATTAATTAACACAGTATTCACTCAATTTAACGGCCTCTTTTATACCGATCTGCCGGTATTAACGACCGGTTTGGGAGACCGGTATCTGGAGCCTGCTATACCGGTCTGCGGTCGATATTACCGACGGTCGGTATTGGGTTTGTTGTGGCATCAACGTCCCCTCACATGGCGACCAGGCCACCGACCTGGATCGTCCAGAGTCATATATTACATCTTAATTTTCTTTTAAAATGATTCACTTTAATGAAGAAAATTGTAAATTATTATTAATAAAATATTTTGAAACAGTTTTTATTAAGCAAAAGTCTTTGTTTTCTTATTAAATACCTTTTATAGTATAGGCACTAGGTATTTTTTTTCCCACGGACCTAGAATGTACTCCGCCGGGCCATGTGTTCCCATTGTTTACTGTGAACTCGCGCGGCTAGCTTCAATTGTGAAGGATATTACTGTACTGTAATTGTGATCTTCTTTTTAATTTACAAAATGCCAAAAGTTACCCAAAGGAAGCGCCTGACGGTTGCACAGAAGCTGGAGTTAATTAAGAAACTTGATAAAGGATATTCTCATGCACGAGCAGCAGCAGAGTTTAACATCGGGAAAAGTACAGTAAGTGACATCAAGAAACAGAAGGATACTCTATTAAAATATGTGAGCACAACAGAGTGTGCTACTTCTGGTGCTGCATGTTCGAGAAAAACAGTAAAGTCTGGTCAGTATCCACAATTGGATGCTGCAGTGTATAAGTGGTTTATTCAGCACTGCACAATTGGCATGGCAATAAGATTTGAAGAGCTTAAAGTTGCAGCAAGTAAACTTGCCATTCAATTAGGTATAAAAGATTTCAATGCAAGTGATGGGTGGGTTGGAAGATTTAAGGCTCGGCATAACATTTCAAACACCAAAAAAATTTCTGGTGAGGCGTCAAGTGCTGATCCCACTAATGTTGATTCATTCAAGGCTAAATTAAACGAGTACATTGTCAGTAATAATTTAAGCAAATATCAAGTATATAATGCTGACGAGACTGGGTTTATGTGGCGAACTGTACCAAGTACATCCTTAACCAGTAGGATGCAGGAAAATATTCCTGGACGAAAGATAAGCAAGGAACGGCTCTCAGTCTTGCTCTGTGCTAATGCTGATGCCTCTCACAGGACAAAATGTGCCGTGTTAGGCAAGTCTTAAAAAATATAATGCAGGCATTACCTGTAATATATTACAATTCTAAGAAATCATGGTTTAATCAAACAATATTTACGGACTGGTTTGAAAACCACTTTTGCAAAGAAGTCAGAGAATTCCAGATCAACAAATGTGGAATAAAGGCCAGTGAGGTTAAGGCATTGTTGCTGCTAGATAATGCCCCTGCTCATCCCATTAGCAAGTTAATTTCAAGGGGTGGCAGAATAAAATGCATGGCACTTCCACCAAACACAACATCCTTGATCCAGCCCATGGACCAAGGTGTTACCCTTGCTGCTAAACGTATGTACCAAACAGCAATGCTTGAAGATGTTTTAGTTGTTTTACCTAGCGAGGAAGATGAATTGACAGGAAAGGATACAAGGGCTCAAAGAACACTAGAAAATCTAAAAAAGTACACAATCAGGGAAGCAATATTCCACTGGGCTAGGCTTTGGAATAAAGTGAAAGAAACCACACTAACAAATTCATGGAAGAAACTGTTAACAGGCCTAGATGTGAAGCAGCAGTATCTGATAGTGAATTCGAAGGTTTTGAAAATGAAGCCAATGATTTTGAAGGGTTTGAAGAAACGATCTGAACAATGTTGCTCCAAGCTGGTCAGGGTGTACAAGTGAATGATATCAATGAATGGTTAGAAAATGATTACGATCCTGGTTATGAATTGTTAACTGAAGAACAGATTGCGCAAAGTGTTCTCGGAAATGACTCTGATGACTCTGATGACTCGGACGATGTTGGTGAGGCTCTGCCTAGAGGTGTCGGATATCAGAAAAGATTGGAACAAGTTGAGGAACTCATTGAATATTCAATAAAAAGTAAACATGAGGTTATTGGAAATTTTTATGTACACCTTACAGCCTTAAAGCAATGTCTCAGAACGTTGGCCAGAGAAAATCAGATTCAGCCAAAAATAGATAAATTCATGATTTCAACAGTTCGTGAAAAATCTTTGTCGACAAGCCATGCTGCACCCGTCGATGCTGAATTACCATCGACAAGTCGTGGAGCATCCGCCAGCAATGAATGCTCTGCAAGCGATGCTGCACCCGCCGATGCTGAATTCCCATCGACAAGATGTGGAGCATTCGCCAGCAACGAATGCTCTACAAGCCATGCTGCACCCGCCGATGCTGAATTCCCATCGACAAGTCGTGGAACATCCGCCAGCAACGAATGTTCTACAAGCCATGTTGCACCCGCCGATGCTGAATTCCCACCAACAAGTCGTGACAAGTCATCCACTAACGATATAAAATATGATTGAAAGGCATATAAATTAGTGTAAAAAGTGTTGATAGAGTACAGTATTGTAAGTGTTAATGATTAATTAAGCCTAGACAAAAAGATACTGTACAATGTAAATATACAGTAGAAATAATTGTCAATAGTGAAGTAGTATTAGAACTCATGTGAATTAGTAGTAAGCCTAGCTGTTGTGTGAAGTGAGTGCCTGAAAATAAGTGTACATACAGTATGTACCCTGTATACAATACTGTATAAACAATATAAAACAAGCGCTGCAGAGGATGACGTAATCTTCACAGCTTCGTAATCTTCAGCTTCATTAAAAGTAAGTCAATTTACCAATTTTATTATAGTATTACAAGATATTAATTGTTTTTTTTCAACAAAAGCTACATATTAGTCTCTGCAAATGTATATTCTATCGTCAGCAGAGAATAGGTGAGCTCAAAATATTTCGTCTTGGCTAGCTCTCAGTGACAAGGCTCGATCGCCATTGTTATGGCATGGCCGCCACAGCGTGTGTTGTAACATTAAAAATACATTACCTGCACTGTTCAGGGTAAATCAAAACACATCTCTAAAATATTATTGAGAAAATATTAACTTGCTGATTGATACATGAAATATTTTGCAATACAAAGGAATGAATCAATTTTTTCCCACCCATCTGGGCTTGATCAGACCGTGTTCACACATCATCCATGCAGCAGCCAACAACTGGCTTAATCGTCGGTGTGGCACTAAATTGAAATGCAATTACACAATGAACTTTATTTAATTTTAGTTATACAGTATAAAGTATATCCTACCTGAATGTTACTTGAAAAATTACCCGACCCGACTTAACTTTGGAAATAATGGAGCTCCGGAAATAACGACTAGGGTACAGCCCCATATAGGCCGTTAAATTGAGTGGATACTGCTGCAACCCATCATATATCATCCCACTGATGCTGCAACCCATCATATATCATCCCACTGATGCTGCAACCCATCATATATCATCCCACTGATGCTGCAACCCATCATATATCATCCCACTGATGCTGAAATATGTATATATTTTCTTTTATATACTATATATATATATATATATATATATATATATATATATATATATATATATATATATATATATATATATATATATATATATATATATATATATATATATATATATATATATATATATATATATATATATATATATATATATATATATATATATATATATATATATATATATATATATATATATATATATATATATATATATATATATATATATATATATATATATATATATATATATATATATATATATATATATATATATATATATATATATATATATATATATATATATATATATATATATATATATATATATATATATATATATATATATATATATATATATATATATATATATATATATATATATATATATATATATATATATATATATATATATATATATATATATATATATATATATATATATATATATATATGTTTCATTGAATATGACCGCATATTCTGTATTTATTATTTTCTGGTTTAGGGCTTCTATCCCTCTAACTATTTTCTTAGCATCAGGGCTTAATTGGAATAGGAGTTCTCCAAAACTCATTTTCGTACTTTTAAGGTGAAGAAAAGAAGTGATTTACTATAGAGTGTATTACACTTATTTGTATAATTTGCACGACGTTTCGAACCTCCATGGTTCATTCTCAAGTGAACAATCTTACAATACTAGTTGATTTTATACCCGCATTAGGTCAGGTGATAATACAATGAAGGTGAAAAACATGGGGGGATGCATAAGGGATAAACATAGGGGCTGCAGAAGGCTTATTGGCCCATACGAGGCATCTCCTATCTAAACACAAAGATTAATCCAGTGTAATTGGCCTGTTATGTTGGACATTGTCTTCTGTGTTGGCATCGATATGTTCTTGTCTTGTCCTTACTCTCATGGTGGGTAGAGTAAATAGTTCCGTGATTTGGGTGTTCATGGTAGGTCGCTCTATTCTTATGTGAATTGCCTCAAGAATTTGTAATCTTCTTGAATCTTGGGTTTTGTCTATTATGCAAGTATTCTTGTTCAACATTTCTCTTGTTAGAGTAATGTCATGGGCTTGTCTCATGTGATTCCTAGGGGCACCAGATTGAAGATGGCATGTCAAACGCCTCGTCAGCTTGGTCGACGTCATACCTATGTACTTACATTGAAGGTTACATCCTTCGTGGGGGCAAGTGTACATGTATACAACGCTTGACTGCTGTAGAGGGTTCTCCGTCGGCTTCGGGCTGTTTTTGATAAGGAGTTCGGAAGTCTTCTTGGTTTTGTAGAATATTATCAGGTTTATGTTTTGGTTAGGAGTAGTGCTTTTTACTCCTTTACGGATTATTTCTTTCATTATTCTTTCCTCTTTTATATGTTCACTGTGCATGGTTGATTTGTAATATAATTTTATTGGGGGTGTTGTGGTTTCTGTTCTAGGTTCTGAATTATACCAACGGTCCAAGTGTCTTCTTATAGCAGCGTTTATTTCCGCGTTGCTATATCCGTTGTTCACCAATACCTGAGTTACTCTTTCAAACTCTCTACTCACGTTGCTCCATTCAGAGCAGTGGGTAAGCGCTCGACGAATATAAGCATTGAGATACAATATATGTATTGATATATATTGGAATCAATACAATATATGTATTGATTCCTACCCATGAATACATGAACAAAATTAGCGACATCCTAAGTGACGACTCCAAATTTCAACGAATCACGAGGAACCCCGTAGAAGACCTTAAGCGGAAAGTAAACAAAACAATTACAGCAATCAACGCAAAGAAAGGTAGTGTGCATTTCAATAAACTTCAAGGCGACTATGGCTTAGGATATGCCTACGGCAATGTTAAGACGCATAAACCAGGTAACCCACTACGCCCTATAATCAGCCAAATACCAACCCCAACTTATCACCTGGCAAAAAAACTCAATGAACTCCTAACTCCATACACTCCAAGTAAGTTTAGTCTACAATCATCAGCAGATTTCCTAGAATTGATCAAATCTACCCAGCCCGATGGAATCATCGCTTCCCTGGACGTTGAATCCCTTTTTACCAACGTCCCAGTCGACACAACCATAGGAATGATACTGGACAGAGTATACAGAGACGAGAGCACCCCCAAATTAGACATACCTGAGCCACACTTGAAAAGTCTTCTCGAAGCATGTACAAAGGAAGCCCCTTTCATCAGTCCACAAGGAGACATGTATTTACAGATAGACGGAGTAGCAATGGGCTCCCCCTTAGGAGTTTTATTTGCTAATTTTTATATGGGAACCATCGAAGATAGGGTCTTCAGTAGCAGACAAAAACCAACTGTATACTGCCGTTATGTAGATGACATATTCGTAATAGTAAAAGACTCAGATGAACTAATTGACCTAAAAAGACACCTAGAGAGAGAGTCAGTACTCCGATTTACACATGAAAATAGTGAAAATAACAGTCTGCCATTCTTGGATGTACTAATAACAAAAACAGGAACCTCTTTAAGCACCAACGTATATACCAAGCCCACCAACATAGGATTATGCCTGAACGGTAGAAGTGAGTGCCCCCAAAGATACAAAGCCAGTGTTCTCAATGCTTATATTCGTCGAGCGCTTACCCACTGCTCTGAATGGAGCAACGTGAGTAGAGAGTTTGAAAGAGTAACTCAGGTATTGGTGAACAACGGATATAGCAACGCGGAAATAAACGCTGCTATAAGAAGACACTTGGACCGTTGGTATAATTCAGAACCTAGAACAGAAACCACAACACCCCCAATAAAATTATATTACAAATCAACCATGCACAGTGAACATATAAAAGAGGAAAGAATAATGAAAGAAATAATCCGTAAAGGAGTAAAAAGCACTACTCCTAACCAAAACATAAACCTGATAATATTCTACAAAACCAAGAAGACTTCCGAACTCCTTATCAAAAACAGCCCGAAGCCGACGGAGAACCCTCTACAGCAGTCAAGCGTTGTATACATGTACACTTGCCCCCACGAAGGATGTAACCTTCAATGTAAGTACATAGGTATGACGTCGACCAAGCTGACGAGGCGTTTGACATGCCATCTTCAATCTGGTGCCCCTAGGAATCACATGAGACAAGCCCATGACATTACTCTAACAAGAGAAATGTTGAACAAGAATACTTGCATAATAGACAAAACCCAAGATTCAAGAAGATTACAAATTCTTGAGGCAATTCACATAAGAATAGAGCGACCTACCATGAACACCCAAATCACGGAACTATTTACTCTACCCACCATGAGAGTAAGGACAAGACAAGAACATATCGATGCCAACACAGAAGACAATGTCCAACATAACAGGCCAATTACACTGGATTAATCTTTGTGTTTAGATAGGAGATGCCTCGTATGGGCCAATAAGCCTTCTGCAGCCCCTATGTTTATCCCTTATGTATCCCCCCATGTTTTTCACCTTCATTGTATTATCACCTGACCTAATGCGGGTATAAAATATATATATATATATATATATATATATATATAGTATATATATATATATATATATATATATATATATATATATATATATACAAGAGTTCTTACATTCTTGTAAAGACACTAGCATGCATAGCATTTTGGGCAAGTCCTTAATCTTAATTTTCCATAGAATACAACCCACCAAATCTTTTAACAACCAGGTACCCATTCACTGCTGAGTGAACAGAGGCTACTGTTAAGGATTGGCACCCAGTCAATCCTCCCTGGTCAGGATACAAACCCAGGTCAAATCATAGATCAGTATGTACTGTACTTATATACAGTATGTGCTGTATATAAGTACATACCAGTACTGTATGCAGTATACAGTAATAAATAATATCATGGGTCCTTGAAAACAGTCTTTGCTGTTGGTTAAATAAAGGCTGAATGATTGTCTTTGATTAAAATAAATTTGTTTTGAATGCATTTCCTCATATCAGTGAAGATCAGCAATTTAAATAATTCGCAAATTAAAAGTTCAAGATTAGCAAATCATTAGCATATACAGGTTCACTTCCTCTTGCATTAGAACACTTAGTACAGCCCCAGAAGCCTAATGTTAGACACAGCTGAAGACCGCCACTCACTTCCTGCAGCAGACCATGTGGTAATCACTTCATCCCCTACAGCACTATATATATCCTATACATTACATGATGGCCCTAGTCCACAATTCCAGAAAAGCATTACCCTGGCTTGGTCTCTGGAATGTAATGCCATAAAATACCCCAGTACCTGTGCCAGAACCCACTGCCAAGAAAAAGTACCTGAAGGCAGAGAGGTAGTCATAGGGTGAGGACGACGTAAGGGTGACGCCTGTCTTGTCCCTAGCCATGACGGGCTGAGTGATTTCATAGATGAGGTCAGCATTCAAGTCAAGGTCAGTGGCCCTCACTGTTACCACCTTCTCTCCAGCTGGCAACCTCTCGCTTACATATTGCGTGTACGAGTCCTGTGTTGACAAGAACAGCTCGTTGTGTCAAAGATCCGATACACAAGTGTGCCATTAGCATTTAAATACATTCAGCTGAAACTCTAATAACATTAATTAAACACAGTAAAAGTCAACAGAATGTACACAATGAAATCACAAGAAAATGATGAATCTATGAATAAATATTTTGCTGTAAGATGGGATTAAACCGACATCCCTGAAGGTCCAGTTAGTACTGTAATACGTGCTTGACAGATGATGCATGGATTCGACATTATCTACTATTTATTTATTTAGTTTACATTTGGAATAAGAGTGATATAGTGAAAGACATGTACCTTGCATAACTCATGTTAATAATAAGCTCAGCAGCTGTTTAACACTTTCGTACACCCGGTGCGCGCGCCCCAACCCACCCCAAGGTGGGCCTGGCTTTTCCTGGGAGTGAGTACCCACACTAACATATGTACACTTTCCAGTGTTCTGACCTCAATTTTCGAGCTACGTCGTTCATTTTGGTATCAAATTGTTCACAATCTAAAGTCATGCATTTTAAAACTAATACCATAATAAGCGAACAGTAAATGGATTTTTAACAAATATTTTAATTTTGGACGCTCATTACTACAAATATTTATCATTTTTCCAGTGTTCTGACTTCAACTGTCGTGCTACGTTGTTCATTATGGTATAAAATTGTTCGCAATCTAAAGGCACGCATTCTTAAACTAGTCCCATAATGATCAGATAACAAATGTAATTTTAACAAATATATTAAATTTTGACGCAACATGTGTCACCAACGGACATCCGTCACTTTATTTATTGACGCAGACAAAAGTGTTAAGCAGGTGCTGAGGTGTACCTTGTTGTATCCATAGTGTCTACACACATAATGATAGTAATGTGGCTATGCTAAGGAAACACTTGTTAAATATTATAATTATAATCATTATTTATATAAAGAAATATAATAATAATAATAATAATAATAATAATAATAATAATAATAATAACAATTATTATTACTATTACTATTTCATTCACCTGGGCTTTTGGACACTCGTACCGGGGACCCCACGTGTGTGAGGCCCAAACTCAATCGACTGGGATATTAAGTAGTCGTAATAAGGAAAGGTTCTAGAAGCAACTACTACCTTGAGGTGCTTCTGTTGCCAAGCTGGAATTTATTACTTTCCCTGACTACTAATTAAACTCAGAGGAATTAGTAATCCATGGCCATGCCATATAAATTGTCATGCACACTTCCGTGGAAATAAACATTTAATTCACCTGGGTTCTAGCAGACTCAAACTGCAGACCCCAGCCATATTTATAGGTACTGTACTAACAGCTGCAGCCATATTTTGTGAATTCAACATTTACTATTACTTAATTGATCAGTGCCCTTTTCACTGCCATTAATATGGAGATAGAACTTGTTGACTACCTGTTGATGAATCTGAGGATCAACATCCCTCACAGCTCGGTCAAATTCAGCAATACAAATGAGGCTTGACAATATTGTAAAATTAAGTGAAGTTAACTACAGTATCCCTCAATGTTACTAACCCATAGTGTCTATATAAAATACAGTAGGCCTATACAGTAAATTAAACAAAATAGTAATTGTTGGCTCATGTTATCAAAACTGAACTTGCAACATAGCTCAGACCTAATGAAAACCCTTGAAATAAATAAACTATATGTAGGAGGTCTCAAGCAGACTGACCTGGTTAAACTTGGGAGGCTTGTTGTTGACATCGGTGAGAAGGATGGTGACGGTGGTGGTGGCTGTCTGCCTGGTGCTGGCTCCACTGTCTACTGCTCCCACCACAACCTGTCACACTTATACGCCTTAGTTTATACTTTACAGCAATTGCAATGGATATCTCTATCAGAAACAGGAAGCATGTTGGGCTTATCAAGGTCCCACTAGCCCATTAAAAGGATGCTACCCATAACAGTTGATCGAGTCCCAGGTACATATTTACTGCTGAGTGAACAGCGGCATCAGACGCAAGTAAACATGTCCAAATGCCTCGCCCTGTCCTGGAATCAAACCCATGACAAACCAGTTATATACCAACATCACTAATCACCATTATCTATCTCTCCACATATACAGTTGTGAATCCCAGAGAACACAACCATTCAGATGCACTCAAAACTGCATAATTAAACAAAAAATTCTGTATACTGTATATGGAGTATTAAAACCAACAATGCATATGAGCTTTGTTATACTTAACACTTTGCGCAAACTATTATCAAAGAGGTGTTGCTAGACAAGGTACCCAATGGGCACCGTTGGTTGAGAGCGACCGACATTACATACAGACAGTGCCCACTGGGTAATCCTTGCACTATATAAAATATTCTAATTAAGCACCACTCACTGCTAATGAACAGCAGCTTCTCTAACATTCAGGTGTATTTTTGGAAACTAAACTATTACTTTCATACATTTACTTCATAATAATCTAATCCATATACTGGTATAGAGATTCATGAAGTTAAACCCAATTTCATGAAGCTTTCCTCACAACAGTGAAGCTTAGATGGATTGGTTTCAGTTACAAAGATGTAACTGTTTCAATGATCATCATTTATGCGGTTAGAGAAAGACTGAGTAAATGTGAAAGATTATGAACTTGGAGGGAGCCAAAAGAGATGACGGACCTTGAGGAAATGACATCAGGAGCATGGAAGGGGACAAAGAGGAAACAGGCCATGTGGAGGCAATGCAAGGAGCAGGGAAAGGGACAAAGAGGTGACTTTAGAGTTTAGCATATTCAAAGATTGGTATCTGTCTTCCACTATTTTCTTTTGTTATAATAATGACTTACTGAATATATATTGAGTGGCATGATATTAGTTTTTTCTGTTTCAGTTGTAACTACTGTATTCTATACATTATATACTTGTTGTCTTATTTACATAGCACCTTTTAGACTTTTTGTGGGTGCATCATTGATCTGAATGCTTATCTTGCCTATGACATTGTCCTGACCTTTTATCGTGCCTGTAGCACTACTAAGACATTAAAACTCTTACTCTATATCTTCCAGGATGCTTATCAAACTTCAGCTCCTCAGGGAACACTGACCTGGTACTTGGGGTTGAGGTCACGGTCAAGGGAGGCACCTGGAGCAACTTTGATCTCCCCAGTGGTGTCATTCATGACAAAATTGTCCCTGGCCCCTGCCATCAGCACATATGTAAGCCCCTCATCGGCCCCATCAGGGTCGCTAGCTGACACTTGCACTACACTCGTTCCTGGGAGTAGAAAATATGTTATATACGAAAATAAAAATCCCTATCAATTAGAAGCTACATAAATATAATTAAATAGTATTACAAATAAATGAGAGAACGCGTGATCGAAAGTATGGGCGTCTCACCTAATGGGGCATCTTCCAGCACATGGGCCTCATACGCCCGCTGACGGAACCTTGGAGGCCGATTCGTATCCCGCCCGACAGTGACGAACACTCTGACGTCACTGTGTCGCCGGGGCTCACCTGGGGAAAAGATGGTAGGAGTATATTGGCATCATCTCTTAGTATGTCAATACACCATTAGTTTACCTCTGCTTATAATTGTTACAGATTTCCTTCAAACACTGATCTAGTTTACCTTTTTTTAACATGGATCTACAGTAGTTAAATTTCTATGCCCTCTAAAGTCTAGAAGATAATTTATATAAGGTATATCAGAAAGAGGATAGGTCAGAGTACAGAACCTTGTTGGATTCCACTGGCAACATCTCACCACTCTGAGATCTCACCCCTCAAAGTAACTCTCTTTTCAGTTGCTTAGGCACTCCCTGAGCCACTGGAGCACCGTAACTGTTACTCCTGTCCATTTCTCTAACTTAAGTACAGCCTCTTATGGGGTTGCTAAATTTTGTTCATGTGGTCATAGGTCTATAAAAACTGCGAGGAACAATTTGTCATCTCTGAACTTGTGTTGGTGGTGTGTTACAAAGTACCTTCTCTCCATATGTGCTGCTAGATTTTTCTCGCAATCTTCTCCATCACTTTGCATGATATTTAAGTTAGGGACACCAGCCTGTAGTTCAGTGCCTCTTGCCTGTCACCCTTTTTGTATACAGTATTTGTCTTCTACATAAGCTGTCTTCCAACTTTCTGGTATGCCTCCTTTTCCAGTGACATATACACCATAGAGTGTGACAAGCAAAGTGCTCCTGCACCATCTTTTATTATCAATGCAGGGCCATCATAACAGCATTGTAGGCCTTGGACAAAGGCTTGCATTGGGGCCCCTCCTACCCGGATGATGGGCACTGGGGCCTCATACTCAGATACTGGGGCCCTGCACATCTGCTAAAGTACAGGATTACCCTAAAATAGTTATGCACAAATTATTTATATTATAAATATAAATTGAAAAGAAATTTGAATCCCAGGCTATTGAGCATGGATCTGAGGGGGTGCAGGTGAAGGTATAGATGGATGTTTTACCTGTCAGTAGTGCGGATAGTGAATATGTAGGTGGGCATTTTACCTACATCAGTAGCGAGAAGAGTGAGGGCATAGATAAGAGGTGTAGGTGGATGTTTTACCAGTATCAGTAGCACAGATAGTAGGGGGGTGTAAGTGGAGGCTAGGTGAGTGCTTTACCTGCATCAGTAGCATGAACAGTGAGGATGCAGGTGCTGGTGGGCATTTTCCCATGTCAGTAACACAGATGGTTTGGGTACAGGTGTGTGTATTACCTGCATCAGTAGCACGGATGCTTATTGAGTAGGTGGAGGTGCAGGTGGGTGTATTACCTGCATCAGTAGCACGGATAGTGAGGGTGTAGGTGGAGGTAGGCGTATCAAGGTAGGTGAGAGCCCGCTGGATGGTCACCTCACCACTGATCGGCTCCACGAAGAAGGCCTCATCATCGGTGTTGCCTTCTTGCAGGGAGTAGAACACCGTACCATCACCTTGGTTCTCTCCGTCAATGTCTGTCGCCTGGGAAACAACCTTCAATAAGCAAGTGCCAATAGGGGGGTTCCAGTCCACACAGTTAACACAAGTACTAAATGCACCTTCATGAAGAACTAGTTCTCCTTTGCCACCATTAAACATGTTAGTACTTATCATGTAAAACTGTCATTAATACAATTTTTTTGGTAATGATTTTATTTGTTAGTAATCCGAATTCATTATAATGTATAAATAACTATACAGTAATCGTGTAATCGTCGATTACAATGATCTTCACAAGAAACTAATTGGATATAGATCTCATTAAGATGAGTTTGCAGGAATAACCTTTTTTTCCTCCACTACATGAGGGTGAGGTACTAATGAACAGCCTTCCTTGGATGTGTGAGCACCACCAACCTTGTCTAAGTTAGAAGGAGGTGGAGAGAGATACTAACCTTGACAAAGAGTGGGGGGTCGAAGGCTATGGCCCCCTCATCGACCGTCCTGCGGTACTCCCTTCGGGAAAACTCTGGCGAGTTGTCGTTCTCGTCCTGCACATCAATGAAGATGTTGACAGATGTCACCTTACCACCCCCATCAGTGGCTGAGTATGTGAGGGAAAACGTCTTCTGGCGCTCGTAGTCCAGACATGTCTCCAGGCCGCAGTTGGCCAGGAAGATCTCGCCAGACCTGTTGTTCACTCGGAATTTCTCAGCTCCAAAGCCTTTCAGACTGTAGCTGTTATTGGAAAAAGCTACTTCAGTATCTGAGTGAAATGTCAATCATTCACTTATCAATCTACAGTATGTACTAACAAATAAGAAATTTACAACATGTAAACAAAAAATTGACAAACTGTATATTTAACATCTGGGAATATATGTATTATAAGTAGTAACTCCCTCTAGCAAACATGAGGCAGTAGTCCCCCACTACTCTCAGCAACTCAAGTCTACTCATAGCCAACCACACATATAGCTGGTGGAGCACAAGGACCCAAGCCATCACTACCTCTCTCACCTGAGCCTTCCAAAGACGCCAGAATCCGAGTCATTAGCGTGGAGTGTCGTGACGAGGTACCCGGGGCCAACACCTTCACTCACATTGAACCTGCAGTCAAACACCTTACTTTAACAAAGGTTGAATAAGTAATAATATGAGGGTTTTTGACATAAGCTTCTAAGTTTAATATGAGAATGAATGAAGTGAATGAATGACAATGGCACATACATGGGTATTGTGGCTCAAGAAACTGAATCAGGAAGCCTATTGAGACAGCACAGAATGGCAGCTCCTTCATCCAGATACCACCAGCTGTGTGACGAGGGGAAGCTCAGCCTCTGTTAGGAGGAGGGAGCTCTGTAAGGAGCGAGATCTGTGGAGAGGGGGAGATTTGTAGGGAGGGGAATTTCCTTCCCTACCTATGTAGGGAAGGAAAGCTCTGTGAATGAGGAAGAGCTCTCTGGAGAGAGGAGGAAATTTGTGAAGAGGAAGATCACTGGTAGGTGGAGGAACTCTATAGTGAGTGAAAGCTCTGTGAGGAAGGGAGAGCTCTGTGAGGAAGGGAGAGCTCTGTGAGGAAGGGAGAACTCTGAGAGGAAGGGAGAGCTTCGAGAGGATAGGAGAGTGCTGTAAGGAGGGGAAAGCTCTGTGGGGAGGAAGGAGCTCTGTATGGAGAGGGATCTCTTTGGAGAGGGAACTCTGTATGGAGAGGGAACTCTGTATGGAGAGGGAAGCTTTGTAGAGAGGGGAGCTTTTACGGAAGGAGGGGGCAGCTCTGTAGGGAGGGCGAGCTTATAATTATATTTGTATATATATTCCCATTCTAAGTTTGAGTTTCGCTTGACCCGGAGTTGTAGTGGTTGGGCATGAGTTGGTCATTGGGAGAATACATACAAGGTCCAGGTAGTACAGTCATGTTCATTCTTGACTAACAGTTAGGAATTCCGGGTTCAAATTCCGAGCAGGACAAAAATAGTATGGTACATTTCATACCACTTATTGGTCCAGTTCCCCTAACAGTAAATAGATATCCTGGGGTTAGTCAGCATCTTGTGGGGATGCATCCTGGGAAGGGTCAGTAGTTCGACCTAGGGGGGGGGGGGGGGGGGGGAGGTACCTCGATATAAACCTAACATGTATACATACACTGGCTGCCTGTCCTCCCAAACACAATTACGGTAATTAATTTGAATATTGATAAGTATGTGTCCTGAAATATGCACTTTACAGTATTTGACCACAATATAAGCTTTCCATAAGCAAAGAACCTAGTTTGTATCTAATGGTCGGTTGCTCTTTGAACTCCTTTGTGTAACCCTTGGAGGCATGAGTGGAAGGTGAAGCAGCGCAGACAAAGACCTACCTGTAGGAGGGTTGACGGAAGACTGGAGCGTTGTCATTGGCATCTGTGACGGTGATGTTGATAACTGCAGCCGACACAGCAACTCCTCCCTCACTCGCCACAACTACAGTAACATCATTATTATCAACACTATCAAGAGATATATATACACAACACTATCAAGAGATATATATACACAACACTATCAAACACTATACTGTACACAAAGAAGCACACTCCTCTTTACGGTGCATATACACTAGTTTACTTTGGTTCTGGACTATGTTTATGACTAAGGTAAATGAGCTGGTTGGTAAACAATAAATGAACTATTGTGGTGGCCTGACAGCCCAGCCAAACCAAACAATATTGCCTTAATGCTCACACACTGTAACACTAACTACAGTGCTGTATTTACACTTCTGATCTTGTAACTCTGTACTCTAGTTACTTCCTTGATCATTAATATCAATTATTTGGCTTAAGGAGTATTGGAGTTCCTTTCCTGATCATTATATAGTATATGCCATTGTAACATTTTTGCTCCCATGATGGGTATGGTGTCTGCCACCACCCCCAAGATGGGTATGGTGTCTGCCCCCTACCCCCCAAGTGGGTATGGTGTCTCCCAATGTCCCCAAGGTGGGTATCATGTTTGTCACTGTCCCCAGGGTGTGTATGGTGTCTGCCCCTGCTCCCAGGGTGGGTCATAATAAACAAATATAACTTACAATATCTCCATACTATTATAAAAGTATAACTTGACCAATAATTATGATGTGACATCTTTTCATATACTGTACAGTACTGTACTCTGCATAATTTATACCAATATATTTAACATATAAAGAGAAACATTTTGAACTACTGTATAGGAATACTAGTACAATCTTCTAGAATATCTTCGGAGAATATTTTTTATAAATAAGTAAAAAGTGACTTTTTGGACACACTTTTAAAGACGAAATTAGAGGCATCTGGATTCTCGAAGTCAAGCCTTGAGGAGTCGGCAACCTTGATGATTACAGGAGTTCGGCCGACGGCAGTCTCGGGAAAGATGGAGAAGACGCCCCGAGAGCCGAAAATGTCCTCCAGGGCGAGGGAGAAGCGAGCGTTCTCCCCTACGTCGCCGTCAGTCACCACCAGGTTGAGGCCAGGCAGGGGTGTCCCATCAGCTGGCACGGGAAACAATGTGATCATGGCTGCATTATATATCTAAGATGTAATACACAATGTGATCACAGGATCATGATATATGACTTTGAAGCCTCAGGATAAGATGGAGCCCATATCTGATGTGAATGTGACCCAGACGAGTACTAACCAATATCCTCCGGGACCATGATAGAGATTTGGTCCCGGCTGAAGACAGGTCTCTGGTCGTCCACGTCCGTGACCACAACGGTGACCTGGGACACCGCAGCCTCTCCGCCCTGCTCCTGAGCCTACACCAGCAGCCCATCACACACAAGGAAAAAGTGTAAACATTAAGAATGACCAGGAGGATCTTCCATTAGCCACTACTTACTCAGCTGTAATATGCTGCGGATAACTAACAATAACATGGCACAAAATTAATAACCCAACTCACACATCAGAAAGGCAATGATGTTGGGGTCCACACTGGACCTTTATGGATCTAGTCGCTGATGTGATAAGGGTCCAGGACGGGTCGAAACATAACCACTTTTTTCCCTTTCACACGTGTGGGTTGGGTTATCACCTGAAATAACAGGCAGCTAAGGCACCACCTACAAACTGAAATTGCCAGATGTAACCAACATCCCATTTTGTAAAGCATTTTTAACTCTAAATGCACTAATTCCCATGAATAAAATACATGAATGGACAAATAAACGTACAAAAAACTTGAGAAAATAATAATGTGGGCATACTTTTCAAGCCTCAACCCAGTGGCCAAAACCACCACTAACTTATAACGTGCCCCCAGCCTCTCCCATGATAACTCACATCTTGAAATGTACTAACTCATCACAGTTAGTAACACAGATCAGCAATATCAAAACTGTCTACTGTGTTAAGGTAAAGTGCTAACTTTATAAATTATAATTCCTCCTGTTGGGGAACAGGAAGGTTTACTAAGGTTTATCCAGTAAGCCCAATGTACCTTCTTGTATATATATATATAAATAAATAAATAAATAAATCTAGGCCCCCACCCCCTAGGCCTACTACTGGCCTTCCCCAGGATGCAACTCACAACATTTGCCTAAGGAAACGTGCCTTTTCTGTCCCACCCGGTGATCAAACCCAGGATCCTCGAATGTAAGTGGAGGATTTAGACCACTCTGCTACAGGACCCTGCATGTAAGTTATACAATTGTGCTTTTGTTAATACTAGGACTAATACTCTGGTGACCTTACCCGGACACTGAATGTGTAGAGTCCTCCATTATTGAGGATGAGCGGGTCCTCTCGGTCAAGGGCGACCTCGGACGTGGAGAGAGTGGCAGTGAGAGAGCCATCTTCCAGGTTCTGTACATCTGATAAGGTAAAGTAGCCAGAGTCATCCCCCTGCAGGGAGAGGGTGAGGGGGCGCGGCTCCCCGAGGTCACCATCGCGGGCACGGATCTCTAGCACCGACGTGCCCTGGGTGCCCACGGGTGGCAGGAGGAAAGCAATGTATCAATAGCCTTACCTGACTTCAGTGCTGCCAGGATTCATCAAGCATTTACATGTTTACGTAAGAAAACTGTACGTCTTTCCTCACTCTTGGTGGCATAGTTTGTACTTAATAAACAGTTTACGAGCTCTGGAACTTCATAATCCAAGGTTATTATAGACAGCGTCAGAGCTCACAAAATGTTTCTCTCAAATGCTTGAGGAGTCCCAGCAAATAACAACATGTGTAAATAATTAATGTGTTTTCCTTTTTATGAAAAGAAATCCGTATAAATTTCCTGAGAGTAAAGACTTCAAAATTAACTTGTACAGTATTTAAATAGCTAATTTTTTTTTCATTTTATTTATATAGTATATACAATAATTTTTACATTCTTGTAAAGCCACTAGCATGCATAGCATTTTGTGCAAGTCCTTAATCCTAATTTTCCACAGAATACAACCCACCAAATTGTTTAACAACCAGGTACCCCATTCACTGCCGGGTGAACAGAGGCTACAGTTAAGGATTGGCGCCCAGTCAATCCTCCCCGGCCAGGATAGAAACCCAGACCAAAGCACTCATGAAGCGCCGGGCAAGTGCTTTATCACTGCACCACGGGGAGTTTATTCTCACGTCCCTTGCATGTTTAACTGTTTTTATTAGAGACTTTGTGTATTTATAAATGTGGAGTTATACCTTTAATCCACTCATGCAATACCACCATTAAAATGACAATTATATGATGTTTTACAATTCCTGTTCTCGTGTACTTGTAAGGCATTTTGGTTCATGAGTGAGAGGCCAGATAGTGTACTTACAGGCGAGCTGGCTTCCCTGACGGTGGCGCTGAAAGGGGCATTGAGGAAGATGGGAGGTTGGTCCTGCACGTCCTTCACTTCGATCATCACTGTCGCAGTGGAAGTGAGGCGCTTCTCCGGTCCTCCGTCCGACGCCCGCACCTGCAGGGAAGGCAATGAAACACCTGGCATATCACTACAGCAAACTGTTGCCTGCCTATACATCACACCTCACATGTAACACTCTCCCACTGTACACCACACCTCACATGTAACACTCTCCCACTCTATGCCAACTCCTCACATGTAACACTCTCCCACTGTATGCCACACCTCACGTGTAACACTCTCCCACTGTATGCTACACCTCACGTGTAACACTCCCACTGTATACCACACCTCACATGTAACACTCCCACTGTATGCCACAACTCACATGTAACACTCCCACTGTATGCTACACCTCACCTGTAACACTCCCACTGTATGCTACACCTCACGTGTAACACTCCCACTGTATACCACACCTCACATGTAACACTCCCACTGTATACCACAACTCACATGTAACACTCCCACTGTATGCTACACCTCACATGTAACACTCCCACTGTATACCACAACTCACACGTAACACTCCCACTGTATGCTACACCTCACATGTAACACTCCCACTGTATGCTACACCTCACATGTAACACTCCCACTGTATACTACAACTCACATGTAACACTCCCACTGTATGCTACACCTCACATGTAACACTCCCACTGTATGCCACACCTCACGTGTAACACTTCCACTGTATGCTACACCTCACATGTAACATTCCCACTGTATGCCACACCTCACATGTAACACTCCCACTGTATGTCACACCTCACATGTAACACTCCCACTGTATGTCACACCTCACATGTAACACTCCCACTGTATGTCACACTTCACATGTAACACTCCCACTGTATGCCACACCTCACATGTAACACTCCCACTGTATGTCACACCTCACGTGTAACATTCCCACTGTATGCCACACCTCACATGTAACATTCCCACTGTATGTCACACCTCACATGTAACACTCTCCCACTGTATGTCACACCTCACATGTAACACTCCCACTGTATGTCACACCTCACGTGTAACACTTCCACTGTATGCTACACCTCACATGAAACGCTCCCACTGTATGTCACACCTCACATGTAACACTCTCCCACTGTATGTCACACCTCACATGTAACACTCCCACTGTATGTCACACCTCACGTGTAACACTTCCACTGTATGCTACACCTCACGTGTAACACTCCCTCTGTATGCCACACTTCACATGTAACACTCCCACAGTATGCCACACCTCACGTGTAACTCCCACTGTATGTCACACCTCACATGTAACATTCCTACTGTATGCCACAACTCACGTGTAACATTCCCACTGTATGCCACAACTCACGTGTAACATTCCCACTGTATGCCACAACTCACGTGTAACACTCCCACTGTATGCCACACCTCACGTGTAAAGCAAGTCTGCCCCACCTGCTTTACTGTGTGCCTGACCCATCTGGTTTATGTATCTAGCCCACTTGTTTTACTATACTGAGTGTCTACCCTACATGCTTTACTGTGAGTCTTGCCCAGGTGGATGAAAAACGAGGCGGACACAAGCAGGACCCGTCTTACCACCATAGTGTAGAGCCTCTCCGTCTCGTAGTCGAGGAGCACCTTGAGAGAGATGATGCCCACATACTCCCCTTCAGCCACTCTCGCCTCCCGCACCTCGAACTTGGCGCACGCCTCCGGGGTCTGTAACACAAGTTTGGTTTTAATTTTAACCTTAGCCTTAGCCTTTAGCCTTAACCGCTATACACGTATAGCGGTTAAGCATTGAACTGAGCATTCCACTTCAAATATGTTAGACATCTTTATGTACAGAAATTTTAGCAGATACATGGAAAGAAGCAAAATTCCAATTTACAAAAATGGTAGCAAAGAAGAATTTCTAAAACATAAGACCAGTATCGTTGACAAGCATAGTAGTCAAAACATTAGAATAAATAGTTAAAACCAAATGTGTAGAACACCTGGAGAGACATGATACAATAAAAGACGTCAGTGTGGCTTCCGAACAGAAAGATCCTTTGTAACAAATCTACTTAATTTTTATAATAAGAGACACAAAGATTATACGGGAAATGGATGGCTGGGTTGACTATGGACTTAAGAAAGCTTTTTGACAAAGTTCCACACAAGAGGTTCTTCTGGAAACTGGAACAATGCTAGGGGAATGACAGGCAGACTGCTGACATGAATGAAAAATTTTCTGGCAGAAAGATGAGGACAGTAATCTGAGGCAATACATCAGACTGGAGGAGTGTTATTAGCGAAGTACCACAGGATTCCGTTCTTGCACCAGTAATGTTCATCATCTATACGAACGAACTACCAGAAGGAATACAGAACTAAATGAACATGTATGCTGATGATGCTAAGCTACAAGAGGAAGATAAGAGACTTAGTCGATTGCCAGGCCCTTCGAGATGTGGCAATAAGCATGGAGAAATAGACAAAATAAGCATGGAGCACTAAATGGCAAATGGAATTAAATGTGAATAAGTGCCACACACAACCAAGAAATTATGTGGAAAGGCATTAAAGAACTCAAACAAAACGATATAGAGGTGGTTCTGGATAGTAGACTGTCACATAAAGGACACTGTGCGAGGAGCCTATGCTACGGTTTCCAACTCCAGAACTGCTTTTAAATACATGGATGGTGAAATATTAAATAAGCTATTCACGACTTTTGTGAGACCAAAACTGGAACAGGCTGCATCCTGGGGATGTATGTGTGTTTGCTGGTGAGAGAGATATGCAGTAAATATGATATACAGTAATAGGTCGGGAGTCACATGAGACAACTGACGGTGTGAAAGGCGGGGTCCAAGAGCTAACAGCTCAATCCTGCAGGCACAAATAGTAAATCCACACACACACACAGTGACATACCTCCTCCTGGACACAGCGGAGTTTGACCTCGGCATTGGCGCCTCCGTCGGCGTCGGTAACATTAATGTTGGAGAAGAGAGTGGAGCCAGGTGAGGATGATTCCAGCACAGCGAAAGTATACGGCTGCCCGTGGAACACCGGCGTGTTGTCGTTCACGTCCAAGATGGGGATCTCCCGACGCAGGGGCACTGTGTTGGGCTCATCTCCGAACACGCGCTCGTCTGGTACACGAAAGTTGGGGAAAGGAAAGGCTTTGGTTACTGCTGTCATGGCGGAGGAGTGGGCGTGATATGGTGAGTGGATGTTGTGGGTATATGTGTAGTGGGAGGGGATGGGATGTGAATAGTGTGGACTGTAATGTGGGTGTTGAAAAGTTTGAGTGTGTATTAATATCTCAATAAACTTATTTCAATTTCAGTTGAAAGTATAACGCACCTGTGATGGTGATGATGGCGTCGATCATGGGCGTGGTCTCCCGGTCCAGGGCGTGAACAAGCGTGACCACGCCAGAGTTCCTGTCCACGCTCAGGTAGTCACCGGAGACGGAGAATGACACCGGTGTGCTCTCGGGGTCACGACCCCTTAGTGTGTACACCGATGACCCCACCGGCGTGTCTTCCCTGCACCAGAGTCATCCACACGCACACGCACGTACATGCACACACACATTGAAAGTACAGAGAAAAATAATGGAACATATAAATTACTGTATATAGCGTGAATTTTCTATTTTCCTTACATTTTTCTTCACTTGAGAAGGAAGTTGAATTAACTTTTAATTAAATTAACTCTCCAAAGTTAATTTTTACAGTTATATTTGCCCTGACACTAGGATTGATTGACTGAGGAAGATTAAGCCACCCAAGAGGTGGCCCGGGCTCAGTCCGGGCATGAATAGCCTGTAATGACACTAGGAGAATGAATGAATTAAATATAGGTCAAGATAACCTTTTGGGTGAGCGGGGACGTGAGGATAGGGGAAGAATTGGTGGGGGGGTGAGAGGAAGGGTTTCTAGGATGAGGTAATGAGGTGTTATTTGTTACCTGAGGGAGAACCTGTCCATGTCACCACCATGCAGGAACTGAGGCGCCCTGTTGAGCTTCTGCGCCCCCGTCGTCGCCACCGTCGCCACAACCATCACCACCAACACGCCCACCTCCATCCTGTACACACACAAAGACACATTTATGCACTAACAATACTCATATATACTAACAAGATTCAATAATCAAGGTTGTTCATGCCGGGTACGGAAAATAAAAAACATTGGACGCTTGTCCAAATCATCAGAACGGGCTGCGTAGAGTTAACAAATTTGCGTATAGTTGTTGAATTCCTTGATGATATACTCATAATGGCTCTGAAGTTTGCCAGCGCAGTCTACTTTCTTAGTATCACGTAGCTAGTCCTTGACACACTGTACTCCCCTTCATATAATCACAGGTGTACCAAAATGCGTAAAAAAACAAAAATCAATGACTGAAGATCGATGGTCAAATAAATGAAATATTTAATATATTTATATTTCACCTAACGTACGAGATATACTAAGAGTTTTTAGTAAATTATGACTTGGCAACGTTGCCTAATTTATTGGTTGGGGATAACTATAGTGACTAGGATAATGTCTCAATATTTCCTTACCATCTTGCAGCCTAGTGACTAGGATATTTGTGGGAAAGTAAAGATCAGTTATTTTGTCAATGGTAATTTATCCTATTAACAGTGTCAACAAATATTTGTATTAAATATTCAGAAAAACTACATTTTTTTTACAAATGTATTGTAACCTGTTTTGAAAGGTATTCTAGAATATAATATTCTTTATATTTATTTTATAATTAAATATACAGAGAATAATCATATATGCAGTTTGCCATCCTTTGTAATTACAATTTACGAATCAATGTTGCTGTATTTTTTAATTAATATATCAATTTCTATTTAATACAGAATACATCATCCTAAACGGTAATTGCAATGGATTATAAACGGCAACAGACCAGAATTGGCTCATGAACTGATCCAATCAGGCAACATGAAACCATCAGCTTCCCATGGCTGACATATCAACATGTGTGACTTAGACACATCTAGTGTTGTGTACAAGAATGGGTTAGTGTGTAGTCGTCTTCAGCGGATGGTGGGGTTACGGGAGGTGAGGCAAAGTAGGTCGCTCAACATCCTGCAAACACGCACAACGTTACCGTCCCAATTTTTCTCTTGTTACAACTTGTAACAAAGTTGTTACATCTTATTATAAAGTTTTTATGACGTGTTAGAAAGTATTTACAACTTGTTAGACGGTGTTACAACTTGTTCGAACGCTTTAGCAATGTCGTTATGTTTGGCGGGAGTAGACATCCTGTGTTACGGTTATCCCCTGCATAGCAGATGATTCCGCCTGTTCCTTAAGTCTTCAAGATCTGCATGCTTCTACCTTATTCATCAACATCAAGAAACACCAACAATACGTGTCAAAAACGTATTGTCGAGTCTTCTCCTCCCCCTCCCCATCACACCACCTCCCACGAGAGGCGCGCCTCGCCCTTGACTCAAGTCCATTACATCCAGCGGTCGACCCCACAGACGCATTCATAAATGTTTACATGCTGTTCATTCAAAATAAGGAATTTTCTTAAATATAAATTAATATTAAAAAATATTAGCATATTGTGCGCATATAGGCAGAGGTTAGGTTAGGTTAGGTGTTTAGGTTCTGTTGGCTATTATTTGTATTTGTAGTACGTGGGTGAAGCATTTATAGCGTTGTGGTTCGAACAAAATTCGTCTATGAAGCACTTGTTCCGGAAGTGTTCGAACGAAATCAGTTGTGAGTCGTGTGTAAACCATTTTTCATTCATAAACAGTGGTTTTGGCAGGTGCATGTAATCACTTTCGGGTCTTTGTTTGGAGGACGAGCTGGCAACCCGTCAGCACTTGTTACTACCAGCAAACAACCACTTAATTCTCTTGCCGGTTCCTCATTCACGGACCCAACTGCGCGCCAATATGACGTCACCATCGGTATATATAGCCCTGGCATGGGCTGTGGTCAATCACGGGAGACATCTCCCGTCACGCATGGTGCAGTCGCACCTCCACAGATCTCCAGTATCAGGTCTTGATACTGGTAATGGCTCAAAAGCGCCACCACTTTTTTTTCCGGGTTTTTTCACTCCGTGCCACCTTTTGGGTGGCTTAATCTTCATAAATCACTCAATCTCAGCTGTCAGCACCGCTCCTGTGCCAGGTAAGTCCACTACGGGCTCACCATAGCCCGTGCTACTTGTAACTTTTTGTTTCAAGAAGCGAATCTTGAACATGTGGTCAATCAGAAGCCTTTTGGTGCTCTCTCAGTTCGCTTGTATCTACTTATGCCTTGCCTCAGTTCGCTTGTATCTACCGTCACCTGTTCTTACGAACGGGTGACGGATGACATTCAGAGCACATTGTATAAAGTGTCACATTCACCTTTTTGTCAGTAACGTAAATTCACTTGTGTGAATTGTATATATATATATATGTCGTACCTAGTAGCCAGAACTCACTTTTTGGCCTACTATTCAAGGCCCGATTTGCCTAATAAGCCAAGTTTTCCTGAATTAATATATTTTTTCTATTTTTTTTCTTATGAAATGATAAAGCTACCCATTTCATTATGTATGAGGTCAATTTTTTTTATTGTAGTTAAAATTAACGTAGATATATGACCGAACCTAACCAACCCTACCTAACCTAACCTAACCTATCTTCATAGGTTAAGGTTGGGTTAGGTTGCCGAAAAAGGTAGGTTAGGTTAGGTTAGGTAGGTTAGGTAGTCGAAAAAACATTAATTCATAAAAACTTGGCTTATTAGGCAAATCGGGCCTTGCATAGTAGGCTGAGAAGTGCGTTCTGGCTATTAGGTACGACATATATATATATATATATATATATATATATATATATATATATATATATATATATATATATATATATATATGTCGTACCTAGTAGCCAGAACGCACTTTTCAGCCTACTATGCAAGGCCCAATTTGCCTAATAAGCCAAGTTTTCCTGAATTAATATATTTTCTCTAATTTTGTTCTTACGAAATGATAAAGCTACCCATTTCATTATGTATGAGGTCATTTTTTTTATTGGAGTTAAAATTAACGTAGATATATGACCGAACCTAACCAACCCTACCTAACCTAACCTAACCTTTCTTTATAGGTTAGGTTAGGATAGGTAGCCGAAAAAGCTAGGTTAGATTAGGTTAGGTAGCCGAAAAAGCTAGGTTAGATTAGGTTAGGTAGTCGAAAAACAATTATTTCATGAAAACTTGGCTTATTAGGCAAATCGGGCCTTGCATAGTAGGCTCAGAAGTGCGTTCTGGCTATTAGGTACGACATATATATATATATATATATATATATATATATATATATATATATATATATATATATATATATATATATATATAAAATATATATATATATATATATTTCTTTTTTATTGTGTTAAGCCAAGTGGTTAAGGGGTTTTTGTCATTGTTTATTATTTTTTTGTAAAATTAGTTTTTTTTTGTTATTAAATGTTTAAAGTTTTTAATTTTTTTATCTGCAATTGGTACACCGTAAAGGACTCGGCAGCTTTATTTTATTTTATTTTATTTTCTCTTATTATTATTATTATTATTATTATTATTATTATCAATGTGAGATTGGCGTAACACCTGCCAGGATAATACTGCTTTGTCCCAGATCACATCACACTTGCGACAGGGGACCGTACACCACCCACTCTCTACTCATTCCCTCCCGCCCAATCTTCATTTCCTCCAATTCTCTCTTCATTCCCTCCCACTCTCTCCTCATTTACCTTCCCTCATTCCTCTCCACTCTCCCTCATTCACCTCCACAATCCTTCATTCCCTTCATCCCTGTCTCCTCCCTCCCTCCCTCGTACCTCCTACTAAGTCTACCCAGACTAAAGGCTGCGCCATCGCATCACCCGACACTTTCTCCGCCACAAACAAGTTCATTTTCCTCTTAAGTTCTAAAATTATGTCTGTAATTGAAGTGTGGCGCGCCACTTTGCCATCCCCGGCGGAAGCCAGACGACGCGATATAATCACCAATGAACGGCGTGACGACCCTGGTAGGGCTGTTAAGCCCCGCTGACCTCTTCACCCCAACGCCTCTCAACCCCTCATCAACTGAGACTTGTGGAATTACATGCTGATGACACAGTGATAGTGTTTGTTCGCGCCCACAGCTTGCTGCGTTATACACTGTGCCACAGAGCGACTGCTCTCACAATCCTCAGACAGCGCCCAGCATTGCAGAGACTGGCACAGAGTGACTGTTTAGTTCGTCCTCTTAAGGTTTCCCAACGTCAAGAAAACGGGCAATTTAAAGTGTCCTCTCCTAACCTACCAGAGGACCCGAAACAGAAAACGGGACAGTACGTCACTTTCGCCAGCCGCTTCCATTTTCTGATACGACAATTTATGGCCTTAAAGTAACGCATACGAGCGAAATGCGACGTTCTTTGTAAGAGGACAGGTTGGGCGCTGATGGAGCCAACAGGCCACAGTAGCAGAGACTGTGTTATAACTACACACACAACTCACAATAACGTGATGCATCAAATGAACAAATCCACAAGGATGCTCCCGGACGCAGGTTCGAATTCTCGTCACGGCCCTTGTGGATTTGTTCACTGCGTTATAACAAACTCCGGGTCTCAAGTAAGCACAGCTAACTGTGATATTACAGTATCCGTCATCAACTCAGTCTAATCATAGTAAATCCAGTACCATAATGTAGGTCATGTAAAATAAAAAGGTCAAGCAACAACAGACAAGTGGATCAAAAGTAATGTAAACCGCAGGTTTAAAGTATTGATCACTAATTTGTAAACATATAACGTCCTCGGGGACAGGAAGCCAATACTTACTTATTGAGGTCTAACCTTCCCCAGAATGCAACCCACAACAGTTGCCTAACCCCAAGGTATCTATCTTACTACTGGGAGGGGGGGGAACTAAGGTGTCAAGCGAAGGAAAACGTACCCAATCGTTTACGTTCATACTTCCCGCGGGATTAAACCCGGGTCCCTCGGTTGTGAGTCGAGGACGTAGACCACTGTGCTACAGTATTATTCCACATTAGCT